AGCCCAATGTCGTGCATGGATCCAGATATAATTGTAATGTGATTATAATCACAAAAGCCTGGACGTCCAGGGAAAACCTGCCTCCATTGTTGCTCCACTTTTCCTTGAAACATCATAACAGGTACATAAAAGATAATTTATACCACCCCTCCTGGCCGTTTTTTGTTTTTTGGGGTTTTGAAAAAAATCGGAGGACTGGGTCAAGATGGAGGCATAGGTGGACGCACTGTACCTCCACACACAACCAAGATTGGACCAACAACAATTTAGAGGCAGAGTAACACCCAGAACTGACTGAAAATTTATATGAATGGAAGTCGGACAGCCAAGAAGTTGAAATAGGCCCGTTCATCCAAACTGGTAGGAGGGGCGGAGATGAGCAGCTCGGCGTGGGTCACAGAGCGGAGAACGGAGAATTGGGTGCATAAGGCAATTGGGAGAGCATAAGGCATCCGGGGCATGCAAGATCACAGCGGGTGGACCCTGAGTACGCAAGCAGCAGCTGGCAGACCCAGTGGGGTGGCAATTGTGGAGCAGGGCAGAGCGCACAGCCCAGGATCACAGGGAAGGAACTGAGGTCCCACGGAGAACAGAGCTACTGCCATTGCTCCCTCTTGACCCTGCCCTCACATACAACCTCACATTCTAGCGACTGGGGTGCCCAGCCATGGTGAACACCTAAGGCTCCGCCCCCTCACTGTAACAGGAGCGAGACCAGACCAAAGAGGGGGGGGGGGCTCAAATAGAAGAACAAATCAGTGCCCCAGGACTCATCCTTTTGAGCAACCAAGAAATAGCTAACCTATCAGATGCACCGTTCAAAACACTGGTGATCAGGAAGCTCACAGAATTGGTTGATTTTGGGCACAAATTAGATGAAAAAATGCAGGTTACCATAAAAGAAATGAAGGAAAATGCACAGGGAACCAATAGTGATGGGAAGGAAACTGGGACTCAAAACAGCAAGAGTCGACCAGAAGGAAGAAAAACAACCAAACAGGAAGAATGCAGAAATAATTCAAAAAAACGAGGAGAAGCTTAGGAACCTCCAGGACATCTTTAAACGTTCCAACATCAGAATTATAGGGGTACCAGAAGGGGAAGAGGTAGAGCAACAGATTGAAAATGTATTTGAACAAATAATAAAGGAGAACTTCCCCAATCTGGCAAAGGAAATACACTTCTAGGAAGTTCAGGAAGCTCAGAGACTCCCAAAGAAGTTAGACCCAAGAAGAAACATACCAAGACACATCATAATTACATTATCCAAGGTAAAAATGAAGGAAAGAATCCTAGAAGCAGCAAGAGATAAGGGGACAGTCACCTACAAAGGAGTTCCCATCAGACTGTCAGCTGATTGCTCAAAAGAGACCTTATAGGCAAGAAGGTCTCTTGACCTGTAAGAAGTATTCCAAGTCATGAAGGGCAAGGACCTACATCCAAGATGGCTCTATCCAACAAAGCATTCATTTAGAATCGGAGGGCAGATAATGTGCTTCTCAGATAATGTCATGTTAACGGAATCCATTATCATGAAGCCTTTATTTTATGAAATGTTAAAGGGACTTGTTTAAGAAAAAGAAGATAAAAATATGAACAGTAAAAAGACATAAAACAGTTATTAATAACCAAACCTAAACAAAAGCAAAAGAAATAAGCAAACAACTAGAAGAGGAACAGAACCACAGAAATGGAGATCACATGGAGGGTTAGCAACAGGGGAGTGGGAGGAGGAGAGAGGGGGAAAAGGTACAGAGAATAAGCATAGATTGTAGGTAGAAAATAGGGGGAGGGTAAGAATAGTATGAGAAATGTAGAAGCTAAAGAACTTATAAGTATGACCCATGGACATGAACTAAAGGGGGAGGAAGTGGGTGGGAGAGGATGTACAGGATGGAGGGGAATGAAGGGGGAAAATGGGACAACTGTAATAGCGTAATCAATAAAATATATTTTAAAAAATCCTCACTTCAGGGCATGTTATTGATAAGGGAGGGAACGAGAGCAGGAGAGAAACACCAATGTGAGAGAGAAGCAGCAACTGGTTGCCTATCCTTCATGTCCCAAATGGGTCAAACCTGCAATCTAGGCTTGTGCCCTGATCAGGAAACTGGCCCGGGGTGAGAATGTCCTCTTCCTAACTGACTGATCAGTGTCTCTCATTGTCTCTGCTGCTCCCTCTCACTTTCTCCCTCCTTCCTTCCCTTGTGTTTTTGAAATTTACTGGGTTCTTCCTATACCAGTTAGTGATTTTTTTTCTTCATTCCCACTACTTTGCAGTACCATTTTGAAAGAAAATCAGTAATCTATATGTAATCAGAGGTGTGTCTTGTCTCTCAATCCATTTTGGTCTATTTTTCAGTACTTTCACCAGTACCACAGGGCTTTAGTTACCACAACTTTGCAATGAATTTTGGTATTTTGTAGAGGTTGTCTTCTTGTCCTGTCTTCTTTTAGGTGGTCTTGGAAGATTCCAGGAGACAGTACCAGAACCACCCATGTAGTATTTCTAAAGACATGAGTAAAATTGAGCCTCTATTTGGCTTACAAAACATATGTAGAAGTATTTGCGACAACATGAATGCAACAGGAGGGCATTTAGTTAAGTGAGCCAGACAAAGACAAATACTGGTATAGGGTACAGCCAGGGTCCCCCCCAAATAGGCATTTGTAGTGGGGTCCAAAACACAGGGTGTCCTGGAAATTTTATATATATATTATTTTAGGGTATCCTCACAGCCAGAAATCAGAACTAGGCATTGTGACACATGGAGCAGTGCCAGTGAACTGTTTTGCATGGGAGCACTTTTGCAACTAATCTCAGGCATAGACATTTAACATATGTGTTACTTAATTGATTTCATGGGTATGTTAAATAGCTGTGAGCTTGCTTTGAGGAAGGGAAATGGGAGTGACTTCAACCTATGACTTAACAGGGAGGCAACTCCCCCTGGTTACAGTGCCTGTGTGAGAACTTGGAGATGATTGGCTGCACGGCAGGGGGTCACGCCTGCCTAGACTTACTAGGGCAGCTCAGAAACTCTGGAAATTTTCAGGAATTCTGGTGGTCATAGCTGATTGTGGGAGGAGTGGGAAATGGGCCTGCAGAGGAAGGTTGGCACTGGGATTTTAACGGGCGCAGAAGACATGTGGAGTAGGGACCATGCAGCTTTGGGGTGCTGCCTTGCCACTTGGCTTAGGAAACAGGAGAGACCTTGTTGGGAAGAAAAGGGGTGAAAAGACTTGCTAGTGGGCCATGAGATTTTGCCACATGGTTTTGGTTTCACTGGAGATCACTGCTGCCAGACAGCTGATGGTGCTGGGAAGTAATTGAGGCTGGCCAGCCCAGTGCGGGTTAGTGGAAAGAACTGAGGAGCTGCCATAGCCATGATGTTCTATTTTTTTTCCCCCCTGGGATATGGTATCCTATACTGGACAGAGGGGGAAGGAAGGACTGTGTGTTTTTGGTATTGTAAGGGACTTTGGACTCTCAATGAAGACATTAATTCATTACTCTTAAGCTTGTGTAAGTTTTGAGTAAATAATTATTTTTCACCAATACCTGATGTTACAAACTATAATTCCCTGACGGTGAGCAAGGCGAAGTTACTACAGGGGGACACCCGGGGAAAGGGTGGGGTCCATTGGTAAGAGTATTTTGGGGTCCCCACACCGATCCCCTCTGTAACAATACTGCATGGTAGAATTTTATGTGGAATCTAAGAAAAAAAATGAAAGTCACAGAAATGGCCTAGAATAGTGGTGGTCGCCTGGGGGTTGGAAGAATGGGGGAAATGGGGAGAGACTGGTTGAATGATACAACCCTGCAGTTACAAGATGCTTAAGGTTGAGGATCTAATGTATAAGCATGGTGACTATAGTTGACATTTGCTGAGGGAGTAGATCCTTTTTTGTAACTTTAAAAAAATGTTCACAATGTGAGGTGATATATGTATTGAATTATTACATTGTGGGGATCCTTTCACAATGTACTTCTATAGATATTTCCAGTCATCACATACACTTTAAATGTATTACCATCTTATTTGTCAATAATACCTCAGGAATGCTGGAAAAAAGTTGTTGAGCCCTGATTGCTGCAGCTCAGTGGCTTGGGTAGTGCTTGCAGACCAACCTTGTTCAACCTCCAGTTGGAGCAGGAGGCTGGGTGACTGTCCAGGCCCACAGATTGCTGTTTCTCTCACACTCCTCCCTTTCTCCCTTCCTTCCCCTCTGTCTAAAAATAAACAATATTGTGTTAAACTGTTGATTTTCTTACTGTTGTGGGCCAGGATCCTCTATATCCACACAGACGTTTAGAATAATCATAACTCATTTCAACCACCTTGTGTAAAAGTAAAATACCTTATTTATGATGTCAAAAGCAGGATGGATGTAAATGATGATATGTTCGAAGGTGCACTAAAGAAAGAAACATTTTTAACATTTGTTCTAGGGTTTTCTAAGTTACGCTGCTTCCTTCATTTGCTAGAAAAGTAATTTCAAAAATATGCATTTAGCGCTGAAAGGAAAATGCGAAACTTTTGGTATTTGTTTCTTGGGTTGGTGAATGGTTCCGTTTCCTTTTTTTTGTGACCTCCCCATTTCGTAATGAATAACTCACACAAGATAAACTATCACAGACGTCGAAAAATTCAGGCCCAAGTAGCCTAAAGAAAGCAACAGCATCAAAACGACTTTGCGGTGGTCTGTTGGTCTTTTTGTCGTTTACAGCCACATATACTTTTCAATCACGCTGCGTGATCCTTAAAAAAAATTTTTTTAAAGGATGGGGAGGAAAGAAGGAAAAGTAAAGAGGGGAGGGGAGGTTTCGTGCTAATAGTGTCACGACTGAACAGAACCATTATATATATATATATATATTTTTTTTTTTTTTTTGAAAGTGGCAACCCAGAGTAAGCGCTACCTTTTCACGAATTCTGGGAAGTGTAGTCCGGAAGCTTTGGGTGGTCGGAGCTACTTCCGCTGTGGGAGGGAGGGGCTCTAGCGGTTGTTCCGGTCGGGGATTCTTAGCGAGTCCCGCAGTGATGGACAACCTCAGCGTTTTCCTGCAGGAGAGCGGGGTTCCTGAGTGTTTAATATCGTCTAGAAAGTGAGTGAGTGCAGATCCACCGCTCTGTTTCTAGCTTGCCTCGGCTTGAGACCCGTAGGTGCGGTCTCGCTGTCTGGGAGGAGAAAGGGCGGAAGGCATCTTTGGGTTTGGTCGGCTAGTGGCGTTGGGGATGGGAGGGGTCGCGGTTCTAGGTTTGAGGGTCTGTCTGTGCTAGGGTTCCCTTGGGTTCTCACGCCTGCCGGCTTCTAGTGATATAATCTTTTCTATGCTTTTAGGATTTAATTTATTTGTTTTTAGAGAGGAAGGGCGGGAGAAAGAGAGGGAGAGAAACAACCGTCTGTGGTTGCCTCTGGAGCGCCGCCTTACTGGAGACCTGGCCGGCAACCCAGGCGTGTGTTCTGATTGGGAAGGAGACACCCTTTGATTTGCAGGGCAGCACTCAATCCACTGAGCTACACCAGCCGGGGCACATATATTATGTTTGTACAGTTATCTAATTTAACTGTTTCTCCTCTCCAGAGTGAGGTTAGTTGTACTGTAACTAGACAGGTGGGCCAGAGTGTGCCTGCAGCTGGTTAGCAGTGTGTGGTTCTCTTTTATCGTGGGGCTGGGGTTTTTTTTTTTCATGATTTTTATTTATTTATTTTCAGAAAGAGGGGAAGGGAGAAAGAGAGGGAGAGAAACATCAGTGTGCCGAGAGAAACATGGATCCTTTAGGGGACCCTGACCTGCAGCCCAGGCATATACCCTGATTGGGGATCAAACCTGCAACCTGTTGATTTAGACGATGCCCAACCCCTGAGACAGACTGACCAGGCACAGGAGGGGTCTCTTTTCAGAATTCACATAGAGCAGCTGTGTGTGCCAGGGCCTGTGTCTCATGTCCTCTCTGTCCTTTGCCACTCCTGTTTCTACAGGACACTTGGACTTCCTCAGAAGGAGCAGGAGAAAATGACCAAGTTCCAGGTGAGTGTAGTTTTGACTTCTATCTATTTTTTAGTTATTTATTCTGTTACAGTTGTCCCAATTACTTTTTCTGATTTTTCCCTGTTGAAATCTGTTCTCAAAGATTAGACACATCGTTTTTCTCTTCTGTGAAGATAAAAAACAGGTGTTTATGTGACTGTGAGTAGCTTTTGTAGTGGTTCTACTTTTGTTTTTGTCTTTAGTTTTATTTTTAGTTTTGGTTATTTTTATTTTATCATCTTCATTTCACAAGTGCTCGGGGAGAAATTCCAAGGTATCAGAAAAGTTTTAAAAGCTACATTATTGTACCACTAAGTCAGCTGTTTTCCCCATATTATATTTTATGTACTTACAACCACAGTATATGTTGCCTTTTCAATCTTTTTTTCACTTAGTATTATCAGTTGATTTTTTTTGTGATTCGCCATTCTTTTATGTACTTTGCTATGCAAATTGCTTGCCCACTCCAAAGAAGGAACCAAGAGCAGTGGCTGTGAAACACAAGGGTTCATTAGGATTTGAAGTACCCACCTGGCGGGCCGGTGAAATTACCTTAGCCCAGGCTTTCCCAGCTCAGGGGTAAATACAGTACAAAAAAGAAAGCAGACCGGGTATGCAGGGTGCTTGCTTGCAAGCTGTGTGAGACCAAAGCACTGGCTGTTTTCTCTGTGCTTATTTATACTGTGGGTCCACATCCGAAAATAATACCTTGGCCAAAAAGCTGGTCAGGCTCCTGAGATCTCACAGTTCACTCACAGATGACCTTCACTGTGTTCCACAGGGTGGGAAGTGGGGTTGGAGCTTGGGGAGGGGCCCCTGTTTGCAGAACCACACATTGTCTCAGAAGGGGTTCTATTTTGTGTGTACCTTTCAGCACCTACAAAAAGGCATCTACACCTCTGTGCCTGTGAATAAATTTTGTTTTTATTCCTCAAACTTTTGCATTGGCTTTTAAAAATTAAATATAATTTACTAATTAAAATTACAGAGCTGAGGTGAAAAGTCAGTGCTAGAGGTGTACCCTGTATTAAAAGTTAAATGATTGCAATAGCCCACCACCCAAAACTAGAAATAGAACATTTCTATTACCCCTCAAAGTTCTCTCCTGTGCCTTTCAAGTCAGTTTCCTCCTCCTGGGAGGCATCTTCTGTTCTGTTCTGTCATCACTTGATTGGTTGGCTTGTTTTGAAATAAAATGTAAGTAACGAGTCTGTAGAGTATATAATCTTGTACCTGTCTTCTCTCACTCAGCACAGTGTTTTCAAGGTGGGTCTACATTGTGTGTATCAATCTGTTATCCCTTTTTATTGTTGAGTTATATTAGATTTTATGAATATATGACAGCTATCTTATGAAGGATAGACAAAATTATCCTTTTGAAGATTAAGGTTGTTTTACAGCTTTTGACTGTTACACATCAAAGTCCTGTGAGTAGCATCTTGTACACGTCTTCTTGTGCATGTGTATTTTCATGCCACTTGGGTTTACATCTGGAAGTGAAATGACTGACCTTGTAGGGTAGATAAATGTATACAGCTGTCCAAATGGGTGGCACCATTTTACCACCCCCACAGCATCTGAGAGTTTCAGTTGCTCCACATCTTTCACTGTTTAATGTAGATCTTTTTTATTTCGTCAGTTCTAAGGAAACAACATCTCATTGTGATTATAATTTGTATTTCCCTGATAAAAATGATGTTGAATACTTTTTCATGTGGATTTTCACCATCTCTATATCCTTTGTGAGGTTTGTTGAAGTCACTTGCCCATTTTAAACATGGGCTTGTAGCCCTGGCTGGTGTAGCTCAGTGGATTAAGTGCAGGCCTGTGGACTGGTGTTGCTAGTTCTGTTCCCAGTCAGGGCACATGCCTGGGTTGCAGGCCAGGTCCCTTGGTCCCTGGTTAGGGGCATGTGAGAGACAAGCACACATTGATGTTTTTCTCATTCTTTTTCTACCTGCCTCTCTCTAAAAATAAAATCTTTTTTTTTAATATATTTTATTGATTATGCTATTACAATTGTCCCATTTCCCCCTTCACTCCCCTCCACCCTGTACCCCCTCTACCACCCACGTTCCCCCACTTTAGTTCATGTCTATGTGTCATACTTGTGAGTTCTTTAGCTTCTACATTTCCCGTACTATTCTTGCCCTCCCCCTATCTATTTTCAACCTACATTCTATGCTACTTATTCTCTATACCTTTTCCCCCCTCTCCTCCTCCCTCCCACCCCCCTACTGCTAGCCCTCCATGTGCCCTCCATTTCTGTGGTTCTGTTCCTGTTCTAGTTGTTTACTTAGTTTCTTTTGGTTTCGATTTAGGTGTGGTTGTTAATAATTGTGAGTTTGCTGTTTAAAAACAAGAAAATAAATTTTCAGAATAGCCCCAGTCTATCAGGAACAGGAGACCGCAGAGAGGAACAGTGCAGGAACCGTCAGATGATTCAGATGTTTGTTACCTGATAAGGACGTTTTCTTAATGTTGTAATACATACATAACATGAAATTTACCACTTTAATCGTTTTTAAGTGTACCATTCAGTGTGTTTAAGTGCATTCACAATGTATGAATTGTCACCACATGTCCAGAGCACTTTTCTCGTTCCTGAACTGATCCTCTATACCCATTACCCAGTAACTTTTATTCCCCCTGTCCCTAGTGTCTGGCAGCCACCATTTTACTTTCTGTCCCTATGTACTTGACTATTCTAGGTACCTCATATAAGTGGAATTATATACCTAATCCTTTTGTGACTAGCTCATCTCATTCAGCATAATGTCTTCAAGTTCATCCATATGATAGAGAGAGGGGAAGGAAGGGGGAATGAGAGAGGGAAACATCAATGTGCAAGAGAAATGTTAGTGTGTGGTTGCCCCTTGCATGCCCCCAACCAGGGACCAAGCTGGCAACGCAGGCATGCACCCTGACCAAACATCGAACCAGCCACCTTTATGTTCACAGGCCGGCATTCAAACCACTGAGCTACACCAGGCAGGACATTTTTTAATTTTCTTTTAATTCTCACCTGAGCCCATGTTTTTATTAATCTTAGAGAAGGAAAGGGACGAAGGGAAGAGGAGACAGAGAGAAACACTGAGTGTTTCATGTTGCCTCCTGTCTGCACCTTGGCAGGGGATCGAACCCACAACCTGTTGGTGTATGGAAGGACACTCCAAGCAGCCGAGCTACCCAGCAAGGGCATCTGAGAAGGATTTTAAAGCAGCTATTATAAAAGTATTTGAGCAAGCACTCAGAGACATGAAATGAAAACCAGAAAATCTTAGGAAAGCAATATAAAATATAAAGTAGAACCAAATGGATATTTTAAAATTGAAAAATATAGTAGATGAAATATAAAAAAGTAAAACAATGGACTCAAGAGCAGAATGAAGGGAAAGAGGAAAGGCCTTGATAGACTAATAGATATTATTTAATATGAATAAAAGAGGAAAATAGACTGAGAAAAAGTAATCGGAACCTCAGGGATCCATGGGAGTATAAAAAGGTCTAATATTCCTGTTATCTGGGTCCAAGAAGGAGAGGAGGGAGAGGGTGGGACTGAAGAGGTTCTTGAAGAAATGTGGTGGAAAATATCCGTAACTTGGAAGAGAAATAAACCTACACATTCATGACACTAAGTAACTCCGGTTAGGGGAATCCAATGCTATCACTCCAAGACATTGTACAGTTAAACTTTTGAAAACTAACAAGAAAGACAAAAACCTTGGTGCAGTAAGAGAAAAACAATTCATATGACATTGAATTTCTTATCAGAAAGAAGTAAAGTATTTTCCAACTGCTGAATCAAAAGCACTTAGAATGTCCTTTGGGAATAAAGGGGAAATCGGGGCATTTATAGATGAAGGAAATCAAGTGTACTTGTCACTAGTTGACTTGTGCTAAAAGAATAGCTAAAGGAATGAAGCAAACATTACATTTTCTAATGTATTCTTTAGATATTTTTAATTCTTTTAGAGAGAGGAGAAAGGACAGAAAGAGGAGAGAAACATCGATATGTGAGAGAGATGTTAATCTCCTGCAAAGAAGACAGTTATAAGTGTGGTAAGGTAAAGTCACTTAAAGAGAAGTAAGATTTCTACTTTTCATTGGAACTGGTAACATAACAACAATATACTGTTAAGTTATGTGTAAGTACTGCAATAATTATGGCAACCACTAAAATTATACAAAGATATCCTCTAAGACATTATAGATAAATCAAAATGCAATTTTAGAAATGATCGAGTAACACACAATAAAATAGGGGGAAAGAAATTAAAAAAAATAAAATGGCAGACTCAAGTCCTAACATAAGTAATTCATTAATTGTAAATGGCCTAATATGCCCATTGAAATACAGGGATTTAAATTGTGATTAAAAAAATATGACCCAACTGGCCCTGGCCAGTGTGGCTTGGTTGGAGCATTGTCCTACACCGAAAGGTTGCAGATTTGATTCATGGTCAGGTCACATTATCGTGTTGTCAGTTCAGTCCCAAGTCAGATGGTGTACAGGAGGCAACGGATTGATGTTTTCTCTCTTGTGTTGACGTTCCCTTTCTCCCTGCCCCTTCCTCCCTCTCTCTCTCATCAAAACAGTGGATAAAGTATCCTCAATGAAGACACAAATAAAGGGACCTAACAATACGTTATAATAAACTCACTTTAAATGTATGATACAAGCAAGTTATAAATAAAAGGAGGGGAAAAGATGTATCATGCAAACATGAGAAGAAAGTAGAAGTGACTAAATATGCAAATGTAATCCTGCCCTTACCATACCAATCACATTGAGAACAGCTGACACTCAGCCAGGACCTCCTGTGTGCCCGGTGTACAGACTCTGAGGCAGCGCTGTGCAGCAGAACTTCTGCCGTGATGGACATGTTCTGTATTGTGCTGTGTAACATGGTAGCCACAGGCCACATGTGACTCTGGAGCATTTGAAATGTTCTGCAGCAACCATGGGAGAGAATTGGTAATTTTATGTAATTTTAATCTTATATTTCCATAGCCACATGTGAGTACTGGCTTCTGAGTTGGACAGGAAGTTATAGGAACTTTATGTCTATTCATTCACTGGTATGTATAAGAGTTTCCTGTGATGAGCAGCATTGCAGAGATGAGGTAGATGAAGGGGTTTTTTTTTTGTCTAAGATCATGCATCTTGCAGGGGGAGCACAGCTTTGGGATTTGAACCAAAGGATTCTTTCAGGGAAATCTGTACACCTTGTCTCTTTGAATGCTGTCATCCAGTAGTGTTGCAGATAGGTGGCATGTGCCTTGAAAACACAGAGGACCAATGTCATAGCTCCTGTGGAGAGATGACGCATTGTTTTGTCAAATTTTAACAAGGTGACAGTACCCAGGTTCACGGAATGCATGAGTGAGAAAGGAAGGATAAACACTACCAGACCCTGTTGGGAGTAAAGTGAATTAAGAATTCTGGAACAAATTGGTACTATTAGTCAGCACACAGACTGTATATCACCCATGGTTCAAGAGGTGCGGTTCTGGGGTGCTTACTGTAAGAATACCCACAAATGACACCAATTGAAGTTAATAGGAATTATTCTTCAATTGCACATATTTTCATGGGACTCGGGAAATTAATGTATGAAATTGATGTGCTGGATTGAGAACAGGAGGAACATACATAGGGGAGACTGAAGCCCCTCAGCATCCAGAGTAACTTCCCGCCCATCCCCCCTGCCCACTCAGTGCTGCCCTCATCCCAGCAGAGGCTGGTTGTGACATTGAGATTGCCTGTGTTTGGTGTTGTAGGAGACTGTGATGTTCAAGGACGTGGCTGTGGTCTTCACAGAGGAGGAGCTGGCACTGCTGGACCCTTCCCAAAGGATGCTGTACCAAGATGTGACCCTGGAGAACCTCAGGAACCTGATCTCTGTGGGTGAGGACAGGTGCCCCCTCAACCTGAATGTCATCTCACAAGAGTATTTTATTTTTGGAAATTGTTTTATTGATTGTGCTCTTTCAGCTGTCCCGATTTGTCTGCCATTCTTCCCTCCATTAAGCACCACCAGTCTCTCAGGCTATGCCATACCATTGTTTACATCTGTGGGCCATGTGTAAAGGCTCTTTAGCTACTCCTCTCCTATACTGTACTTTGCATCTCATGGCTGTTCTTGAACTACCTATTTGGACCCCACACTGGGGGCCTGCCCACATCCCAGGGATTTTGCCCCAGACCTGGAATGGAAGTAGCAACCCCCTGATTTTGAGGCTGGCACTGAATCCACTGAACCATACCCCCCAGGGCTACTTAATTTGTTTTTTAGATTCAATTATTCATTGATAATGTATTTTTTGCCTTTTAATTGTTCATAGTTTTGATCTTTTTCTTAAATCCCCTTAACATTTCCTGTAAGAGTGGCTTGGCGATGATGAACTCCTTTTATTCTTCTCAGGAAAGGTCTTTATCTTCTCCTCACTTCTCATTGACGTCTTTGTGGGTAGAGCAGTCTTTGCTGTAGTTCTTTGCTTTTCATGACTCTGAATATTTCTTGCCAATCCCAGGTAGCCTCCAAAGTTTCTTTTGAGAAACCAGCAGAAAGTCTTATGGGAACTCTCCTGGAGGCAGGTTAACTGCTTTTCTCTTGCTGCTTTTAAGATTCTTTGTTTATCTTTAATGTTTGGTATTTTAATACAGGATATTCTTGGAGGGGCCTCTTCATTTCCATTTTGTTTAGCACTGTCTATGTTTCCTGGTCTTGCATGTCTATTTTCCTCACCAACTTAGGGAAGTTTACTTCCCTTTTGTCCCCCAGTAGTTTTGAAGTTTCTGGTGTTTCTCTTGTCTTTCTGGCACCCATATGATGGAAATGTTGGAATGCTTGAAGTGGTCCTGGAGGCTCCTTACGCTATCCTCATTTTTTTGGATTCCTTTCTCATCTAGTCTGATTGCTTGTTTTGCTTCCTTATGTACCAAATCATTGACTTGATCCTCAGCTTCATGTACTCTATTGTTGTTACCCTGTAAATTGTTCTGTGTTTCAATTACTGTATGATCAGTCTGTCTGGATCTTTTTTTATGCTGTTGAGGTCCTCAGTAAGTTTCTTGAGCATCCTTTTAACCCGCGTTTTCAACTCTGCCTCTGCTAGATTGCTTATCTCTATTTTGTTTAGTTGTTTTTGTGGGGTTTTGACCTGTTCATTCATTTGGGCCATGTTTCTTTGTCTCCTGATTTTGGCAGCCTCCCTGTTTGTTTCTGTGCATTAGGTAGACCTGCTGTGCTTCCGTATCCTAGTGTTATGCCCTATGCAGTAGGTGTCCTTTAGGGTCCAGTAGCACAGTCCCCCTTATTACCTCAGGTAGCTACTTGAGATACACCCTTCATGAGGGCTGAGGACACCCTTTTCTTGTAGTTGAGCTTTGGTTGTTGTTGAGGGTCAGTGGTAGGGATTTACCCAGGCCAGTCCTGGGCAAGGTATGGCTGTGACCACTGACCACTAATGTCTGCACTTGTGGAGTACCAGCTGTGTAGAGGCGGAGTGTTGGTGCTTCCACATGGGCTATAGCTGTGCATTGGTTGTGCTGGCCCTGGGTTTTCCTAGGTGATGTATGCCAAGATCAGTCCACACCTGTGTTTTTCCTCCAGCCTCCCTGCCTGAACTGTGGAACAGACTGAGGTGGCTACTACTTGTGTTGGACTTGGAGACCCCCAGGCAAAGCCAAGCTGTGAATTTAGACTGGCTGCTGCTGGTGCTGTGCCTGGGGCTCTTAGCAAAAGGGATTGGGGCTAGGGGCTCACTGAAGATAGCAGTTGCATGTTTTAAAGGATTTAGGAAGTTCTGAAGGATGAGCCAAGAGGAGCCATTCACATGAAAGTCTTACTGTTAACAGTTGTAAGTAAGTTGGGAGGGAGAGAGGCTCTGGGGATCTCCAGGGCGGGGCAAACAGTGTTAGTCAGGTTGATGGAGTCTATGATATGGCACCTGCCTGCTGCCTCTGTGGCTCTCCCCAGCATTCTGTCAGGGGAAAAGCGGTGGCCCAGCTCTTGCCTTTATGCCAGACACTTCCATTCATCCCTGTATTCCTGTGGTGCCTTTGAGTCTGCTACCCCACTGGTAGATCTCAGAGGGAGTTGATAGAGTAAGGTCATGTGTGAGTTCTTTAAGAGGAGCTGATTGGGGATCCAGCAGTTTTTCTACTAACTCAATCCCTGGTGGGTTGTGCAGCTGGAAGTTGCGGGGTGTTATTTTCCTGGCAGAGGAACCCTGGGTTGGGGCGCCTAGAGTGGGAGTGGCACTCCTTACTCCCAAGATTGCCATAAATCATTTCGTCCCTCCCATGTTTATGTGGGAGGAGTCCTTTTCATGTCTCCACCCCTTCTAGCACTCTGGATGGATGTTGTTTCTTTCATTTGTGGTTGTCAGACTTGCCTTCAACTGGATTTCTGATGGTTCTGAGTAATGTTTGTTTTATGATTTAGTTGTAACTTTGTAAGAGGTTGCAAGAGGAGGTGAGGTGTGCTTCGCTATGTTGCCATCTTGACTGTAGATCCCAGGAGTATTTTCGTTTGAAATGTTTAAGAGTTTTGGACTCTTGAAATATGTCTCCAAACCTGGAGATGTACATTTTCTAATTGCTGTTGGATGTGTTGTCTTTTTGTATTTTGGTTTTTGGAAATTGCAATTGCAATATCTTGGTGTCACAATGGGTTGGTAAGTTACATCATTATTGTATGGAATAAAATACAGTACATTTCCTTGTAAGAATGGCATTCATGCAACCAAAATGGTGATTAAATCCGTAAAGGATGCTCATTTGATCCCATGTTGTATTCATAACAGCAGGTTGCAGTCGGAGTTTGGAGAAATAATTCCTTAGAGCACTTGACGGTTATAGTCAATTAATTTAAAAAGTTTTTAAATGTATCCAACAATTATTTTTCATAGGATAGCAGTTTTTCAAATTGGATAGGAGACCCTTGGGGAGAGAGGAGAAGCTCTAGATAACAGAGTCAGACCCCAAGGAGGTGGGTGTTCAGTTGAGAAGCAGGCAGCTCCAAGTCCTCCCAGGGCACAGGCCAGGTGCTGTCCTTCTTTCTGCCACTAGGGTGGCCGCCCTGGCCCAAGCCTCCAGCTTTCCTGACTCCACTTCCTCACAACAGCTTCTCACTGCCTCCTCCTTGTGCGTGTGTCTTCCTGTGGTCTGTTCTCCAACAGCAGGCAGGTCAGGTCACTTCTCTGTTTGTCCTTGCAGGCCGTCCCATCCCACTCATACAGTCCAACATCCTCCTTGTGGCCCCCAGGGTCGTGCCTGATCTGGCCCCCCATGCCCTGTCTGGTTGGATTTCCTGTCCTCAGTATTCCCATGACACTGTGTTGCTGCTCCCTGTGTTTCTGACCTACATACTGTGCGTCTACCTCATGTCCTCTTGCTTGCTTGTTCATGTTCTGTCCATGAGCCTTCCTGGTTCCCACCTCTGCCCTGTCTGCTCCGATGTCAGCTCATCACAGATGCCTGCTCTGACCAGTCCGCTTAAAAACTCAAGCCCCTTCCTCTGCCTTGTTTTCTGACTCATTGTCAATTGCCAGCTGATGTAGTAATGGATTCTATTTTGTTTACTTGTTTATGGCCTCTCTCCCCATTACTGTGTAAGGTTTGGAGAGCCAGGGTTGTAACTGTTTTCTTTATTGCTGGTTTCAGGTGCCTCTGAGAGCCTTAATGCATAGAGTATGTTCATTTACCTCATGTTTGATGAAAGAGGGAATTAATTAATAGATGGATGGATGGACGAACAGATGTTCCGATGGTCTGATGGATTGGTGTCCCATTTCATTGGTAGGGAGAATGCTCCCTCACAGCTTATGCTAACCAGTGGTCTCTGTGTTGCCATTGTGAGCCCTGCTGCATCCATTTGCCCGTCACATCCTCCCTGAGAGCCTCTTTTCTCCACCTTTCCCTCATTGTCCCTTTATTCACTCCCTCTGTCCTACATTTATCTCTACTGTGTACATCCCTCAGGTAAACCCAGTCTGAAATATACTCATTATAGTCGTCCCTATAGGGTATGAGTACCAAAAATCAAGAAGTGTATCAGACCGAAACCCCATCAAAATCTAGATGAGGGTCTGCCTGTTGTGAATAGTGGGGTAAAGTGTTCTCTGTCCTTGTGTCATTTCTGTTCTGGTGTCTTCATGCTGCAGGAATGTTCTGTGCAAAACCTTCATGAAAGCTGGATGCCAGCTCCATTTCATTCACTTCCTTTTTTCTGTATATACTTGGCGTTCCTTGACAATTATGAACCCAGTTCCAACTGGTGTCTGTTTTTTCTTACCAGAAGCCTTCCAAGTGCCCTGTTTTTTTTTTTTTTTAAATCCTCACCCGAGGACATTTTTTCATTGTTTTTAGAGTGCAAAACATCAGTGACAGAGAGAAGCATCAGTCAGTGGCCTCCCATGCATACCCGGGGCATGAATTGAGGATTGAACCCTCAACCTTGGTATGTGTTCTGACTGGGAATCAATCCCACACACAACCTGTGAGTTTCAGGATGTCCATCCAACCAACTGAGCAACCAAGCCTGAGTATGTGGGGTGTTTTTGATGTTGTTTTTGTTTAAGGAAAGGAAATTTTGTTGTTGTTTTGCTGCTATTTATTTATTGGTTGACTTGAGAAGGAGAGAGACATTAAGACATTGACTTTTTGTTCCTTCTGTATGAATTTATTGGTTGATTCTTATATGTGCTCTCAGTGGGGATTGAACCCTCAGCCTTCATTTTGGAACAACAGTGTACCTACTGAATTCCCTGTCAGGGCTGTTCTGTGTTTTTTAATAAGTTCTTTATTTTGTAATTGAGTGCCACCTTGTTATTGAAATATACACACAAAACTGCAGTACACCTTCATGAATTTTCAGGTTGTAAAACAACTTTATATTTCAGTTCCTTACTGAGGTAACATTTACAGACACACATCTCAAGCATGCCCTTTGAAGACTCGTGACTAATGGATACACCTCTGTAACTTACACCCCTTGGAAAACTGAAGGAATCTTATACCGTATGTACCTACATGTCCCTTCTTAAAAGTTCTTTTGGCAACATCTGAACAGCCCCAGATTTTGTTTTTTCCCTCTCGATCTCTTTGCCTGCCCCACTTGTCATGAATATCCTTGCAGCCTTGTTACCCTGCACAGATACTCACACTATAGGATTTCTTCTCTGTCCAGGAGTCCTATAAACAACTGATCAAGAGAACGGTGCTAGGTGGGTCTCACTGTCTTCACTCCTCCTGGAGCCAGCCCAGAACTGGAGGAAAAAGCCATTGTCTCTGAAGAATTATTTGAGAACATTGGTAGGCATCTGATGAACATCTGCCCTAATTATAATTTCTATGGTACTTTCAGCAGCTATCTCTACCTGTGTAACAATCTACTCTTAAACTTAGCAGCTTACAAAAACAAGCATATATTTATACTTCTTTCAGTCAGAAATCTGGAGGCAGCTTCGCTGGGTGATTGTGGATCAGGATCTCATGAAGTTAATGTCAAGGAGTCCACGAGAGCTTCATGTCTTTGCAGACTTAATGGCACTGAAGTATTGGCTTCCAGGATGGACTCATTCACATGGGTTTTGGCAGAAGGCCTCAGTTCCTTTTCAGTGGGCCTGTCCTGTGGGCATCCTGGCTGTCCTCAAAGCATGCCATGGCATTGAGTTTCTTCATCCAAGAGACTGGAAGGAGAAACCACAATATCTTTTGACTCAAGGTTGGAAGTGATATACTCTCACTTTTGCAGATTTTTACAAACCTCCAAAGAGGATATGTTTATTGATTTTTAGGGAGAGAAAAAGAAACATCACTGTGTTGCCTCCAGTATGTGCCCTGAGTGGAGATCGAACCCACAGCCTCTTGGTGTGTGGGATGATGCCGCAACCAACTGAGCCACGCAGCAAGAGCACTTTGCCCTGTTCTCTTAGCTTACCAGGGTAATCTTGATACATTGCAGGAAGGCGTTTGATACCATATGGACATCAGCAGGCAGGATCATAGGACACTGTTCTGTATGCTGGTTACCATGACATAGTTTTATATGTAGAAATGCATATTAGTGTGCAAAACCTGGAATATGTTGTTAGTCACTGATCTTCATTGGAACATGCAGCCAAATTAAATGACAGCAATTATCATGGAACATTTTACTCCCATAAGATGTGTGAGTCAGGAGTATGAGTTTTCTAGTTTGTTCTACTTAGAACGTTCACCATTTTGCTGAAAACATCACCTGCTCTGTAATCATGTATTTCTACTTTTCACCGGTTACATAAGTCTTGGTATAGTTCCAAATGAGTCACCTTAACACTGAGTGGACAGGAGCCTACTCATCACCTCTTTGTTTCCTTACTCATGAGAAAGCCTATGGTGAAAGCCAAGCTGATTGAGTAAGGTCTCCCTGTGCAGTTGACCTGTGAGATATTTCTTATGTCTGAGAAGACATTTATTCATCCTATTGTCATGTTTGTATTCTCCTTATCTTTCCAGGACATTGGAATCAAAATGAGATAGAGACTGCTCACGAAGTTGCTTTAAGGTACCTTTTTCATGAAGACCTTGTGTGCTGGCAAATATGGAACCAACTGCTGAGAAAGTTAACTAGAAATCAAGACTTGGTAATAAACCAGGGAAGCAAGGTTTTGGATTTGCTGAAACAGGGTGATTCCACCTGTCAGTTGTGTGCAGGAGAATCTACTCAGGTTTCAGAAGGAGAGATAAATGTAATAAAGCCTCAAGAGGAAGTTCAAAATTTCAGTACTATAACAAAAGAAGAGTTTCCCATGAGGACCAACCACAATTGCCAGAAGAAAGTGTATTTCAGACAGTCACAGAATGATCCGAGTAGGTGGCAGGAGGGTGACGACAGATGTAAAGTGTTAGAGTGTGAGCAGTGTGACAGGAGAAGGACCTCTGGTCTCCACAGTGATGATGAGGAAGTGAGGAAAAGGGAGACGGCTTATAGCCACAAGAATTGTCTGAAAGACTTTGGGAAGGAGTCATTGCAGTATAGTGTAATCCACTCAGAAGAGCACACCTCTACTGAAAATGCAAAAGGCATCAACTTTAGCCCCAGTGTTGAATTTCATCAACAATTGCACCTGGGAGCAGAAACTCATATACATTGTGAGTTTGGGGAGAGTAACAGTTACAGCTTGGAGCTTTGCACTGCTCAAAGTGTTCACACAGAAGAGAAATGCAAATGGAGTGATGGGTGTGGTCAGGACGTGTGTCAGAGTTCATATCAGAAAACCGATCAGCAAGTCCACATGGGAGAGAAAACCTACAAGTGTGTTGAGTGTGGGAAGGGCTTCAGTGGGAGTTCACAACTTCAAGTTCACCAGCGACTGCACACCGGAGAGAAACCCTACAAATGTGCTGTGTGTAGGAAGAGTTTTAGTCAGAGGTCCAGTCTTGAATCTCATGAGCGACTCCACAGTGGAAAGAAAATCTACAAGTGTACTGAGTGTGGGGAGATGTTCAGTCAGAATTCAAAACTTCAAGTTCATCAACGTGTCCACACTGGGGAGAAACCCTACAAATGTGCTGTGTGTGGTAGGAGATTCGCTCGGAGTTCATATCTGCAAGTTCATCAGCGAGTGCACACTGGAGAGAAACCCTACAAATGTCCTGTGTGTGGGAAGAGCTTCAGTCGCAGCTCAAACCTTCAAGTTCATAAGCGAAATCACACTGGAGAGAAACCCTACAAATGTCCTGTGTGTGGGAAGAGCTTCAGTGAGAGATCATATGTGCAAGTTCATCAGCGAGTTCACACTGGAGAGAAACCCTTCAAATGTGGTGTTTGTGGGAAGAACTTCAGTCGGAGTTCATATCTGCAAGTTCATCAGCGAGTGCACACTGGAGAGAAGCCCTTCAGTTGTGCTGTGTGTGGGAAGAGCTTCAGTGAGAGTTCAAAACTTCAAGTTCATCAGCGAGTTCACACTGGAGAGAAACCCTACAAATGTACTCTGTGTGGGAAAAGCTTCAGTCAGAGGGCTGGACTTCAACTCCATCAGCGGGTCCATACTGCAGAGAAACCCTACAAATGTACTGTGTGTGGTAAGAGCTTCACTCACAAATGCGGGCTTCACATTCATCAGCGAATCCACACGGGAGAAAAACCCTATAATTGTGATTTGTGTGGGATGAGATTCATTCGTATGTCCTATCTTCAAGCTCATCGGCGAGTGCACACTGGAGAGAAACCCTACAAATGTACTCTGTGTGGGAAAAGCTTCAGTCAGAGGTCTGGACTTCAACTTCATCAGCAACTCCATACTGCAGAGAAACCCTACAAATGTACTGTGTGTGGTAAGAGCTTCACTCAGAATTTCGGGTTTCAAATTCATCAGCGAATCCACACGGGAGAAAAACCCTATAATTGTGATTTGTGTGGGATGAGATTCATTCGTATGTCCTATCTTCAAACTCATCAGCGGGTCCACACTGGAGAGAAACCCTACAGATGTGCTGTGTGTGGGAAGACCTTCAGTCGGAGTTCAGATCTTAAAGTTCATCAGCGAGTCCACACTGGAGAGAAACCTTACAGATGTGCTCTGTGTGGGAAGAGCTTCAGTCGGAGTTCAGATCTTAAAGTTCATCAGCGAGTTCACACTGGAGAGAAACCCTACAAATGTGCCCTGTGTGGGAAGACCTTCAGTCATACCTCTAGTCTCCGAGGTCATCAGCGCGTCCACACTTGAGAGAAACTACAAATGGGCTGTGTGTGGTAAGAGCTTCAGTTGGATCTTAGCTCTTCAAGCTCATCAGGAGTTCCCCATATTGAAAAACCATATAAATATAGCAAATCTGGAGCAAGGTTCAACCACATTTCAAGTCTTGAAGCAGATTGTAGAGTCCATACTGCGTAGCACTGTACAAACATTTTGGTTGTGGTAAGGGCTTTAGTAAGACTTCTACGTCTTCACCTTTATCAGAGAGTATATGATACTGGTAAGCTCATCACACCTGATAGGTGTGTGATAAAAGTGTTCCCCAGAGCTTAGACTTCTACGTTTCATGAGGAAATCCACACAGCTGAGTGTCTATAAAATGTGTGTGTAAAAAATTCATCATGACTTCCGGCCAAGGTTGAGGTGTAGGTGGACACACTGTGCCTCCTCATATAACCAAAATTAAGGACAACAAGAATTTAGAAACAGAAAAACAACCAGAAAAGACAGAAAATTGAACTGTACCAAAGTCCCAACAACCATTTATTTAGACCAATAAGAGGGGTGGAGTCAGTGGCCAGGCAAAAGGGCTTGCAGCAGGAAAAAGCGATGCCTGGCATATCTGGGCCCACAGGGTGCAGGGAGCGGCTAGCAGACCCTGATGGCAGATCCCAGGTGCAGGCTCAGGGAGGCAACTAGCAGACCCAGTGAGGGACAGAAGTCAGCTGGCTGCGCACAGTGACACACTGGGGTACAGGCAAACCAGGTGAAAAGGGCAGCAAGATAGACCACGCAAACCAGAGCCCAAGCTCCAGGAAATAAAGCCTAAAAGCACTGATTGAAAACAGTTGTGGAGGTTGAGGTGCTGGGAGAGACTGCACCCTCACAGGAGAGTTCATTTAGAGACCCACAGGGTCCTAGAACGTACAGAATCCCACCCATCTGGGAACCAGCTCCGGAAGGGCCCAGTGTGCTAGTGGGAAGCGGCAGAAGGGAGTGAAATTGGACATGGAGTGGAGCAAGCGCCATTGTTCCCTCCTGATCCCACCCCCACATACAGCATCACAACCCAGCAACTGGGTTGCTCCATCAGGTGAACACCTAAGGCTCCACCCCTCAGTAGGTAACAGGCACGACCAGACCTCAACCCCCCGAAAAAATGGCTCAAATGGAGATAATATCAAAGCGCAAGAGCCAATACTTTTAAGCTGCCAAGAGATAGCCAGCCTATCAGATGCACAGTTCAAAGCACTGGTGATCAGGATGCTCAGAGAGTTGGTTGACTTTGGTCGCAAATTAGATGAAAAAATGAAGGGTACATTAAGTGAAAGGAAGAAAAATGCACAAGGAACCAATAGTGATGGAAAGAAAACTGGGACTCACATCAATGGAGTGGAACAGAAGGAAGAAAAACACATACAATCAGAATAGAATGAAGAAATAAGAATTCAAACAAATGAGGAGGGGCTTCAGAACTTCCACTACATCTTGAAACCTTCCAACATCTGAATTAGGGGTACCAGAAGGAGAAGAGGAAGAGCAATGGGTCGAAAACTTATTTGAACAAATAATAAAGGAGAACTTCCCCAATCTGGCAAATGAAATAGACTTCCAGGAAGTCCAGGAAGCTCAGAGAGTCCCAATGAAGTTAGACCCAAGAAGGAACACACCAAGGCACATCGTAATTACATTGGCCAAAATTAAAATGGAGAGAATTCTAAAAGCAGCAGGAGATAAGGGGACAGTCACCTACAAAGCACTTTCTATCAGACTGTCAGCTTATTTCTGAAAAGAGACTTTACAGGCAAGAAGGGGCTGGAAAGAAGTATTCCAAGTCATGAAAAGCAAGGACCTACATCCAAGATGGCTCTACCCAGCAAAGCATTGATTTAGAATGGAAGGGCAGATAGAGTGCTTCTCAGATAAGGTCAAGTTAAAGCAGTTCATCATCACTAAGCCCTTATTTTATGAAATGTTAAAGGGACTTATCTAAGAAAAGAAGATAAAAGATATAAACAGTGAAAAGGCAGAAAACTCAGTTATTAACAACCACACCTAAACAAAAGCAAACTAAACAAACAACTAGAACAGGAACTGAACCACAGAAATCGAGATCACATGGAGAGATAGCAACAGGGGAGTGGAAGGAGGAGAGAGGGGGAGAAGGTACAGAGAATAAGTAGCATAGGTGGTAGGGAGAAAATAGACAGGGGGAGGGCAAGAATGGTATGGGAATTGGAGAAGCTAAAGAACTTATGTCATATGGACATGAACTAAAGGGGAAATGTTGGAATAAGCGAGTGTGTAGGGTAGAGGGGAGTAAAGGGGGAAAATGGGACAACTGTAATAGAATACTCAATAAAATATATTTTTTAAAAATTCTTCATGAGGTTAGTTTTGTACAGTCATCTGTATTCAATGGGAAAAAACTTCCTTCTTGCAGGAATGTGGACAGTGTCCCGGCTCACTTCAAAATGTGACCGTTCTTCAGAGAATGCACAACAGAAAAACCCTATCAGAGCCATAGTGTAAGTTTGTATGAACCTTCCTGCTCTCTAAAGTCTGCACAGGAAAGAGGCTTAAAGTAAACACCAGTGGACCTTAGAAAAGGTTGATTCACAGATTTGACAAAATCTACAAGCTTGAGAATGTCACTGCCATGGAAGCAGGAGGTTTATTCACTGCTAAATGACCATGGCATCAGACCACTACCTAAGCAGTAATAGTTGCCTGGGAATGTCTCGCTTTATGGACAGGAAGAGCTGTGAAAAATAGGGTGCCTATATGAAAATTCCCATCAGTCCAACCTCAATTAGCAATAGTAAATTGTAGTAGCAAAATGATTTTTTGTAAGATCCTTTAAAAGTTAATTCAGGGAGCGCTGGCTGGTGTGGCTCTGGATTGAGTGCTGGGACATGCCTAAAGGGTCGCCACTTCAATTCCCTGTCTCAGACACTACCCTTGCTTGTGGGCAAAATCTCCATTAGGGGTCGTGTGAGAGACAACCACTCATGGATATTTGTGTGCCTCTCATTCTCCCTCCCTTCCCCTCTAAAAAGTGAATGAATAAAATCTGTAGGGAAAATAAAGCTTTTATTTCATTTTTATTGAGGTGAAGGGAGGGAGAAAGAGAGGGAGAGAAACATTGATTACTTTTATCCATCACGTGCCCCAAAAAGGGACCAAATAACTGGCCATCTTTCCATCTGTGGACGGTACCCATCCAATTGAGCCCCATCTGCCAGGCCATGGAAGGGGACTTTCATAAATGTGGTTTTGTGTTTTGTTGCTTTTCACCTGGATGCATGATGAGAAATTGATGCAAATGTTTATATGCTCACCACTTCCAAAACGCTGGAGGGATCCCCAACAGGGAAAGCTGTAATGGAGAGTGTCAGGGCCACAGCTCCACGGGTTTCTGCTCCCCATACCCAAAGCACTTAAACTCTGAGATTCAGGAAGAGGAGAAGGATATACAGCTGATGATTTTTGCTGATTCTGTGGGGGCAAAGGGAGGCAACATGAATAGAGAGGACATGTAGAAATGGAGATACGCTTTTGGAGATTTTCTTTTCAAGATTTTATCTTTAGACAGTGGGAAGGAGGGAGAAAGAGAGTGAGAGAAACATCAGTATGTTGTTGCCTCCCATGCACGCCCTGGTGGGGACCTGGCCCACAACCCACACTTGTGCCCTGAATGGGAATTGAAGAGGCGGCCTCTTGGTTTACAGGCCAATGCTCAGTCCACTGAGCCCCGCCAGCCAGGGCCTCTTTTGGAGTTTTCAAAAGCAGTTTTTAGTTGCTAGTTAACTCTTGGAAAAGTCAGTGCCTGGCCTTGAGCCCTCTGTGTATGAGTAGCATGTTTTCCCTTAAAACTTTTTTCATTTCTCAGTTACAGTAGACATGCAATATTATATCAGTTTTAAGTGTACAGCATAGTGATAAGACATGTTATCCCCTGGTAAGTCCTGTGCCCACCGGCACCCTGCATAGTAACTGCAATATTACTAACTATATTCCCTGTGCTGCACTTTACCTCCAGGTAACTGCTTTGTAACTTTGGAACAGGAACATAGCTGTCTGGCAGGTTATGGCTCTTTTTGAATTTCCAGCATCACAGACTCAAGTTGCCTGAACCTGTCTTTAGGCTGACCCCAGATTCTGCCTCAGCTATTTCCGTCCCCACTCATGCTGTGCTGAATTGCAGTGGAGTGGGATTGTCCCCTTGAAGAAGGGGGGGCTCAGACTATGTGAGTGTCAGAGATTTAAGGCATCCCACTGGGGGACACTAAACTGTTACAAAATGTCATGATGCTCCTACTTCTGTGTGCATATTTGTAGGAAATGGAAACATGTTACCAAGGAATTATGTACACCCTCATGTTCACTGCAGAATTGTTCACTGGAGCCAACAAATGAAAACAACCTCAGGCTCTACCGTGGATCAAGATGTGCATATATACAATGCGACAGTATTCAGACACAAGAAAGAAGGAAATTCAGCCATTTGGAACAACAGGCTAAGGGCCTTATATTAAGTGACATAAGGCAGAGACAAATACCATATGATACCTGTATGTGGAATTTTTTAAAAAGGGCCTAAAAGCAGAGTAATAGTGGTTACCAAACAGTGGGGAAATGGGAGAGACATTTAAGGGCACAAATTTGGGGTAAGTCAGTCCTGAAGACCTACTGCATGGTATAGTGATTATATACTACCAAACTTGAGAAGCATTTAGTTTCCTTAGAGTCTAGACCTTAAACATTGCAATGCATGAAGAAACTTTGAGATGAGACAGCAATGCTAGCTAAGTGTATGATGATAATCACGTTGTAAGTAATGTATGAAATCAATAACTGTACCCCTTGAACCAAATGTCCTATGTCAAATAAACCATGCAAGATTGTCAAATATGCAAGATTAGTGGAAAAATAACCCATCGTGGATGCAACTGGGTTCTGTGGGTTCCCTGGGAGCACCCCAAAATGGGCTTATTGTCTGATGGCATCATCTCAATCTGAGCTGGTGGACACTGTGTAAACACAGACACAGGTCACATTTCTAACTTGGGAGCACTGTTGGTGGGATCAAAACACACTTGAACTTTCATGAGGGAAGACTTCATTCAAAAGGACGTGTGTTAGGGAGGATGCTCCCATTTCAGAATTTGCAAGTGCCTCTGATTGAACCAGAAAGCGGTTTTCTTCATAAGGCAGGACAAGAATGGCTAGCAGGCAATGTGTGGGAGAGAAGACAGGGAGGGGGAGGTGGCCAAGCAGGGCTTCAGCAGGAAATGTCTGCTGTCTGCAGTGTCATGCCAGGAATGTCCTGCAGGTGCCTGAGAACAGTAGGTAAGGTCAGAGGCCCAGAAGTTCTCAGAAAGTGAAACTGCTGCTGCCCACGTCCTCTGTCCTGGGAACCTCTATTTTTATCTGGACCACACCTTCCATGTCCAGTAGTGGGTTTGTTCATTCTTCCCTTCATTGTGCATTCTGCCCTTCATGGGTTTCAGGGACATGCCATACGGAGACAAGAATTCACTTCTCAGGCAACACAGAAGTTTAATGTATAAAACATCCCTGGGGAATGATTGAAGGTAATGTTTTTCCAAACTGTGGAGTCATGGCTCTGCCCAAACACCCATACATTTTAGGTGAATCATAAATTCACAAATACAAGGAATTGAAACCCTAAAAGCTAATGGAGCAAGAAAAAAATATGTAGGGAGATTATAATAGACTTTGAGATGAAAAATTGGTACACAGTGGTTAGGAAAGCTCTCAGTGCTATATTTTTCTGATAAAAGATGGTTTAGTCATCTTAAAATTTACTGAGCCTGGGAGGTGGGGCCGATGTTGCCATGGTGAGGCAGGAGCCAGCACAGGAAGAACTTGGACTGCAGTGCTGTTACAGGCCAGCATCTAGCATCCTCGTTGCCAGGAAACGCATTTTACCACTTAAGTAGAAAAAATAAACCAAGGCAGGGAGAAGGAAGGAGACAGTTTTCACAGGGTAACTCCGCAGGCTTGAGCCTGGTCTGTTAATATTGTCATCTGCTGCAACATCACAAGAAACACTACCTTAGTAAGAAAGAAGGGAGGTCTTTGGAATTCTGTGCAGCGTTTCCACTCTGGGAAAGAAAGCCCTGAAACTGCTTTCCTCCCAGGGCCTGGAATTCGGGAGAGGGGTTCCAATGCCCAAGAAGAAGCCCATAAAATAACTGGTTTATTTTCTACTTCTGGTCACTATCTGTTTTACAACGGATTTTCTGATACTTAGGGAAAGAGCCCATAAATGAACTTTGGAAGTTCCCCAGTTTTAATTAACTGCATTCTGTCTCGTATCTGTTTTATAAAAGGTGAACAAATGGAGTTTGGGGGAAGAGAAGGATTCGAGCTAACAGAGCCCCACACATGCCTAGGTTTGGGTAGTCACATTTCTCCAGGAAAGGTGGTGGCACATTTACTCATTAATCAATATGTAACTTATTTTTCTGCTACCCACCAACTGTGTGAGTCCCCAGAACAAGGGACGCTGTCTCTTTCTGTGGTGCGCGGGGTGCTCTTGGGTCTGTGGCCACTGGGCCTTTTGCCACGCATCTTCAGGCGGCCCAGGGCCTTCCCACCCTGGTCTTCAGCTGCTCTTACCTTTGCTGCCCTGGTTCGTCCTGAAACATTGCCTCACCGCCCCCCCCCAAGTCCTCTTTTCTTCCATGGGAGTGGATCACTAATAAAGTGATTACACACTAATGGATTTAATGATCTGCAATTCTTTACATGTGTTAGGAAGCAGTGCAAGGTCTGTACTGTCAAAAATGGTTCTGGCGGTTCCTCCACCCCTATCCTCCAAGTTATCGTCATTGCTTGCCCCTGGCTGTCCTGGGGCTGGCTCTGCTTCATTTCATCCTCAGCTCTGGCTAGAGCCCTGTATCCTCCACTGATCCAGATATAATTGTAATGTGATTATAATCAAAGAAGCCTGGACGTCCAGGGAAAACCTGCCTCCATTGTTGCTCCACTTTTCCTTGAAACATCATAACAGGTACATAAAAGATAATTTACATTCCCCCACCCCACCCCGTTTTTTTTTTTTTGAAGAACATCCTCAGTTCAGGGCATGCTTATTGATGGGGAGCGGAGGGAGAGCAGAAGAGAAACCGCTGTGAGAGAGAAGCAGCAACTGGTTGCCTATTCATGTCCCAAATGGGTCAAACCTGCAATCTAGGCTTGTACCCTGATCAGGAAACTGGCCTGGGGTGATAATGTCCTTTTTTAACGGACTGATCAGTGTCTCTCATTGTGTTTCCTGTTGCTCCCTCTCACTTTCTCCCTCCTTCCTTCCCTTGTTGTGTTTTTGAAATTTACCGCATTGTTTCTATACCAGTTAGTGATTTTTTTCTTTATTCCCACTACTTTGCAGTACCATTTTGAAAGAAAATTAGTAATCTATATGTAATCAGAGGTGTGTCTTGTCTCTCAATCCATTTTGGTCTATTTTTCAGTACTTTCACCAGTACCACAGGGCTTTAGTTACCACAACTTTGCAATGAATCTTGGTATTTTGTAGAGGTTGTCTTCTTGTCCTGTCCTCTTTTAGGGTGTCTTGGAAGATTCCAGGAGGCACTACCAGAACCACACATGTAGTATTTCTAAAGACATGAGTAAAACTGAGCCTCTAGTTGGTTTACAAAAACATGTATAAGTATTTGTGACAACATGAATGCAACAGGAGGGCATTTAGTTAAGTGAGCCAGATAGACAAAGACAAATACTGGTACAGGATACAGCCAGGGTCCCCCCAAATAGGCATTTGTAGTGGGGTCCAAAACACAGGGTGTCCAGGGAATTTTTTATATATATATATATATATATATATATATATATATATATATATATAATAATTTTTGTTATATAGATACAAAATTTATTCATTTTAGGATATCCTCACAGCCACAAATCTGAACTAGGCATTGTGACACATGGAGTAGTGCCAGTGAACTGTTTTGCATGGGAGCACTTTTGCAACTAATCTCAGGCATAGACATTTAACATATGTGTAACAATTTATTTCATGGGTATGTTAAATAGCTGTAAGCTTGCTTTCAGGCAGGGAAATGGGAGTGACTTCAACCTATGACTTAACAGGGAGGCAACTCCCCCTGGTTACAGTGCCTGTGTGAGAACGTGGAGATGATTGGCTGCATGGCAGGGGGTCACGCCTGCCTAGACTTACTAGGGCAGCTCAGAAACTCTGGAAATTTTCAGGAATTCTGGTGGCCATAGCTGATTGTGGGAGGAGTGGGAAATGGGGCTGCAGAGGAAGGTTGGCACTGGGATTTTAATGGGTGCAGAAGACATGTGGAGTAGGGACCATGCAGCTTTGGGGTGCTGCCTTTTGCCACTTGGCTTAGGAAGCAGGAGAGACCTTGTTGGGAAGAAAAGGGGTGAAAAGACTTGCTAGTGGGCCATGAGATTTTGCCATATGGTTTTGGTTTCACTGGAGATCACTGCTGCCAGACAGCTGATGGTGCTGGGAAGTAATTGAGGCTGGCCAGCCCAGTGCGGGTTAGTGGAAAGAACTGAGGAGCTGCCATAGCCATGATGTTCTATTTTTTTCCCTGAGATATGGTATCCCATATTCAGCAGAGGGGGAAGGAAGTACTGTGTGTGTTTGTGGGTGTTCTATGGGACTTTGGAATTTCAGTGAAGACATTAATTCATTACTCTTAAGCTTGTGTAAGTTTTGAGTAAATAATTCCTTTCTCTTTCACCAATCCCTGACGTTGCAAACTATAATTCTCTGGCGGTAAGCAAGGTGAAGTTACTACAGGGGGACACCAGGGGAAAGGGCGGGGTCCATTGGTAAGAGTATTTTGGGGTCCCCCCCACACTGATCCCTTCTGTAACAATACTGCATGGTAGAATTTTATGTGGAATCTAAGAAAAAAAATGAAAGTCACAGAAATGGCCTAGAATGGTGATGGTCGCCGGGGGGTAGAGGGATGGGGGTAATGGGGAGAGATTGGTTGAATGATACAACCCTGCAGTTATAAGATGCTTAAGGTTGAGGATCTAATGTATAAGCATGGTGACTATAGTTGACATTTGCTGAGGGAGTAGATCCTTTTTTTTAACTATAAAAAAATGTTCACAATGTGAGGTGATATATGTATTGAATTATTACATTGTGGGGATCCTTTCATAATGTACTTCTATAGATATTTCCAGTCATCACATACACTTTAAATGTATTACCATTTATTTGTCAATTATACCTCAGGAAAGCTGAAAAAAAGATGTTGAGCCCTGATTGCTGCAGCTCAGTGGCTTGGGTGGTGCCTGCAGACCAACCTTGTTCAACCTCCAGTTGGAGCAGGAGGCTGGGTGGCTGTCCAGGCCCACAGATTGCTGTTTCTCTCACACTCCAAAGTTTCTCCCTTTCTCCCTCCCTTCCTCCCTCTCTAAAAATAAACAGAATATTTTGTTAAACTGTTGACTTTCTTACTCTTTTGGGCCAGGATCCTCTATATCCACACAGACGTTTAGAATAATCATAACTCATTTCAACCACCTTGTGTAAAAGTAAAATACCTTATTTATGATGTCAAGAGCAGGATGGATGTAAATGATATGTTCGAAGGTGCACTAAAGAAAGAAACATTTTTAACATTTGTTCTAGGGTTTTCTAAGTTACACTGCTTCCTTCATTTGCTAGAAAAGTAATTTCAAAAATATGCATTTAGCGCTGAAAGGAAAATGCGAAACTTTTGGTATTTGTTTCTTGGGTTGGTGAATGGTTCCGTTTCCTTTTTGTGTGACCTCCCATTTCGTAATGAATAACTCACACAAGATAAACTATCACAGACGTCGAATAATTCAGGCCCAAGTAGCCTAAAGAAAGCAACAGCATCAAAACGACTTTGCGGTGGTCTGTTGGTCTTTTTGTCGTTTACAGCCACATATACTTTTCAATCACGCTGCGTGATCCTTAAAAAAAATTTTTTTAAAGGGTGGGGGAGGAAAGAAGGAAAAGTAAAGGGGAATGGAGGTTTCGTGCTAATAGTGTCACGACTGAACAGAACCATTATATATACATATTTTTTGAAAGTGGCAACCCAGAGTAAGCGCTACCTTTTCACGAATTCTGGGAAGTGTAGTCCGGAAGCTTTGGGTGGTCGGAGCTACTTCCGCTGTGGGAGGGAGGGGCTCTAGCGGTTGTTCCGGTCGGGGATTCTTAGCGAAGTCCTGGAGCGGTGGACAACCTCAGCGTTTTGCTGCAGGAGAGCGGGATCCCTGAGTGTTTAATATCGTCTAGAAAGTGAGTGAGTGCAGATCCACCGCTCTGTTCCTAGCTTGCCTCGGCTTGAGACCCGTAGATGCGGTCTCGCTGTCTGGGAGGAGACAGGGCGGAAGGCATCTTTGGGTTTGGTCGGCTAGTGGCGTTGGGGATGGGAGGGGTCGCGGTTCTAGGTTTGAGGGTCTGTGCTAGGGTTCCATTGGGTTCTCCCGCCTGCCGGCTTCTAGTGATATAATCTTTTCTATTTTTTTAGGATTTAATTTATTTGTTTTTAGAGAGGAAGGGTGGGAGAAAGAAAGGGAGAGAAACAACCGTGTGTGGTTGCCTCTGGAGCGCCGCCTTACTGGAGACGTGGCCCGCAACCCAGGCGTCTGTTCTGACTAGGAAGGAGACGACACCCTTTGATTTGCAGGGCAGCACTCAATCCACTGAGACACACCCCCCAGGGCAGAGATATTACTGTATTTTTCGCAATATAAGACTCATCGGGCACCTTCCAAATTTAGGAAAAAGCGGGGGTGCATCGTATAGTCCAAATGTATGTTACCTGTCTCACTGTGGGGTGGGGAGCGGCGTCACTGGAGGCAGAAGGGTCGCCTCTGCAGGTAATTGGTGGCGGTACTATTGGGGCTATGCTTCGGGCTTTGGGCTGGTGGGAGGGAGTGTCTCGAAGGCGTGAAGCCAGGCAGGCAGGAAAGGAGTTGCTGCTGCAGCATACTGTAATGCTAGGGAGGAGGGTACAGGCAGTGTGGGCCCGTAAGGAGTAGAAAGCCTGCGGCTGCAGTACGTGCCTCTATCATGTGACTGGAGTTTTCCCCATTAACATAAGCAAATTCCACTGCAGGGTCATCTGCCAATGTGGCCCTGCAGCTGTTGCAAAACTGCAACTCCCATCATGCTTGGACAGGTTGGGATGATGGGAGCTGTAATTTGGCAACAGCTGCAGAGCCACACAGGTTGTACAAAACTGCTGTCCCCATACAAGAGTATTGCACAACCTGTGGCCCTCCAGCAGCAGATCGCCCCCATAACAGTGTCAGCAGCAGATCTCCCCATAACAGTGTGTCATCCACTGATGTTCTCAGTGACAGTGCCCCCATAACTATGAAGGACACAGTGCTGACAGTTCTGTATTACTGTATTTTGTTGTAGAAAGATACGATAGCGTTCCGTAGTCTCCTGCCGAATCTACCGTAATTGTGGAAAGATGTCAAAGCAGAAAAGGATTTCATATAAAATCCCTTTTAAACTGGAGGTACTGAAGTATGCCAAAGAACATGGGAACAGAGCAGCGGAGAGACACTTTGGGCCACCTCCAACCGAAAAAATGATACGGGAATGGAGGAAACAGGAGGATCAACTGCAAAAGACGGACAAAACGAAACAGTGTTTTCGTGGGCATGCTGCAAAGTGGCCACAATTAGAAGCGGATATGAAAGAGTGGATCACACGTCACAGGAACCATGGCTTTTCAGTATCTACAAAACTGATTATATATGAAACCAAACGTCTTGCTGCAGAGAAAGGCATTGAGGACTTCACTGGATCACCATCATGGTGCCACAGATTTCTGAAGAGATGTGGCCTTGCTGTGCGCACCAAAACTAGGACTGTACAAAAAATGCCTATAGAATATGAGTCCAAGTTAGTGTCTTTTCACAAATCTGTACTGGATGCAAGAAAGAAAAATGGATTTGAAATAAGCCAGATTGGGAAGATGGATCGAGTCCCGTTATCCTTTGATGTTCCATCAAACAAGACTGTTGATGTGAAAGGTGCCCAAACCATAACCGTGAAAACCTCAGGGCACGATAAAACACACTAACGGGGGTTGTAAACTCATAATGGAAATATTAGGTTATTTATGTTATTAAATATTTTACCACATTCTTTGCTTCAAATTTTTTTTTTCCTATTTTTGTCCTCTAAAACCTAGGTGCGTCTTATGGTCTGGTGCATCTTATAGTACAAAAAATACGGTATGTTTGTAGAGTTATTTAATTTCTCTGTTTGTCCCCTCCAGAGTGGAGTTGTAATATCACCAGACAGGTGGGCCAGACTCTGCATGTAGCTGGCTGGCAGTGTGTGGTTCTGTTTTGTAAGATTTTATTTATTTTCAGAGAGTGGGGAAGGGAGGGAAAAAGAGAGGGAGAGAAACATCGATGTACGAGAGAAACATCTGTCCTCCGGGGACTCCTGACCTACAGCCCAGGCATATGCCCTGACTGGGGGTCAAACCTGCAACCTATTGGTTTGGACGATGCCAAACCACTGAGCCAAACTGACCAGGCGTCAGAGGGAACACTTAAAATTCAGACACAGCAGGCGTGTGTGCCAGGGCCTGTGTCTCATGTCCTTTCTGTCCTTTGCCACTCCTGTCTCCCCAGGTCGCTTGGACTGGCTCAGAAGGAGCAGGAGAAAATGACCAAATTCCAGGTGAGTGGAGTTTTGACTTTTATCTATTTTTTTAGTTGTTTATTCTGTTACAGTTGTCCCAATTACTTATTCTGATTTTTCTGTTAAAATCTGTTCTCAAAGATTAGACACATCTTTTTTCTCTTCCATGAGGATAAAAAACAGGTGTTTATGTGCCTGTTAGTAGCTTTCATATTGGTTCCACTCCTGTTTTTGTCTTTAAGTTTTGTTTTTAGTTTTGGTTTTATTTTATCATGTCCATTTCACAAATACTAGGGCAGGAATCCCTAGGTATCAGAAAAGTTTTAAAAGCCACATTATTGTACCACTAAGTCAGCTGTTTTCCCCATTTTTTTTAAAGATTTTATTTATTTATTTTTAGATGGAAGGGAGGGAGAGAGAGAGAGAGAGAAAGAAACAACAATGCGCGGTTGCTGGGGGTCATGGCCTGCAACCCAGGCATGTACCCTGACTGGGGATCGAACCTGCGACACTTTGGTTCGCAGCCCGAGCTCAATCCACTGAGCTACGCCAGCCAGGGCTTGTTTTCCCCATTTTATATTTTGTATAGTTACAACCACAGTATCTGTACTCTTTTCAATATTGTTTTTTCACTTAGTTTTATCACTTGAGTTTTTGGTGATTCGCCATTCTTTTTTGTACTTTGTTATGCAAATTGCTTGCCCAGTCCATAGAAGGAACCTAGAGGACTGGCTGTGAAATATAAGGGTTTATTAGGAGTTGAAGTGCACACCTGGCGGGCTGGGGAAATTACCTGAACCCAGGCTTTCCCAGCACAGGGGTATACAGAGTAGAGAAAACAAAGCAGACAAGGTATGCAGGGTGCTTGTTTACAAGCCCTGTGAGCTCAAAGCACTGGCTGTTTTCTCTGCGTATGTTTATACTGTGGGCCCACATCCGAAATAATACCTTTGCCAGAGAGCTGGTCAGACTCCCGAGGTCTCACAGCACAGTTCACTCACAGATGACCTTCACTGTGTTCCACAGGGTGGGAGGTGCAGTTGGAGCTTGGGGAGGGGCTCCTGTTTACACAACCACACGTTGTCTCAGAAGGGGTTCTACTTTTTGTGCACCTTTCAGCAGCTACAAACAGGCATATACACCACTGTGCCTGTGAATAAACTTTGTTTTGATTCTTCAAACTTTTGCATGGGCCTCTAAAAATGAAATATAATTTACTTACTAAAATTACGGATCTTAGGTGTCAAGTTAGTACTAGAGGTATACCCTGTTTTAAAAGTTGAATAATTGCATTAGCCCACCACCCAAAATCAGAAAGAAAACATGTGTCTTTCAAGTCAGTTTCCTCCTCCTGGGAGGCATCTGCTGTTCTGATCTCTCACCACATGATTAGTTTACTTATTTTCAGATTGAATATAAATAACGAGTATGTACAGTATATAATCTTGTACCTGGCTTCTCTCAGTCCACAGTGTTTTCAAGATTGACATACGTTCTATGTATCAATGTGTTGTCCCTTTTTATTGTTGAGATGTATTAGATTTTATGAATATATGACAACCGTGTTTTGGAAGGATAGGCAAAATAATTTTGAAGGATGTTTGGGTCATTTTACGCTTTTGACTGTTATGTAAAAATGTCCTGTGAGTAGCATTCTTGTACAGGTCTTCTTGTGGACATGTATTTTCATGTCACTTGGGTGAACATCTAGAAGTGAAATTACTCAACTTGTCGGGTAGATAAATGTATACAGTTGTCTAACGGGATGGCACAATTTTATCACCCCCCACAGCATCTGAGAGTTTCAGTTGCTCCACATCTTTTCATTGTTTGAGGTAGATCTTTCTTATTTCATCAGCTCTGAGGAAATGACATCTCACTGTGATTATAATTTGTATTTCCTTCATAAAAATGATGTAGAATACTTTGTCATGTGCATTTTCACCATCTGCATATCCTTTGTGAAATGTTTTGAAGTCATTTGCCCATTTTAAACATGGGATTCTAGCCCTGGCTGGTGTGGCTGCTGAGTGGATTGAGTGCTGTCCTGTGGACCAGTTTTGCTGGTTCTATTCCCAGTCAGGGCACATGCCTGGGTTTCAGGTAGGACCCCGGTAGAGGGTGAGTGACAGGCAACCACACATTGATGTTTCTCTCCTTCTCTTTCTCCCTGCCTCCCCCTCTCTCTAAAAATAAATAAATAAAATATTTTTTAAAACAATACATTTTTAGAATCCCTGAAAGAGTCCATCAGAAGTAGGGGGCCATAGAGAGCGACAGTGCAGGGACCGTGACATGAAACAGATGGTCGTTATGTCATAAGAACATTTTCTTAATGTAACATATACATAACATGAAATTTACCACTTTAATAGCTGTTAGGCGTACAATTCAATGTCATTAATTACATTCACAATGTGTGAGTCATCACCACATGTGCAGAACTCTTTTCAGCTTCCTGAACTGAAAGTCTGTACCCATTACACAGGAACTTTTACTCCCCCTCTTCCTAGTGTCTGGCGGCCAACATTTTACATTCTGTCTCTATGCACTTGACTATTCTAGGTACCTCATATAAGTGGAATTATACATGTAATCACGTTTTTGACTGGCTCATGTCAGCATAATATCTTCATGTTCATCCATCTGACAAGGATTTATCTTATTTAGTATTTTATTGTATTTCATTATTTTATTATTAGTTTAACTTTTTTTAGAGAGTGGGGAATGGAGCAGAAAAGAGAAGGAGAGAAACATCGATGTGCAAGAGAAACGTCAGTGTGTGGTTACCCCTTCCAGGCCCTCAACCAGGGACCCAGCTGGCAATGCAGACATGCACCCTGACCAAACATCGAACCAGTCACCTTTATGTTCACAGGTGGGCACGCAACCCACTGAGTCACACCAGTCAGAACATTTTTAAATTTTTTTTTGTTCTCACCTAAGAGTGTGTTTTTATTGAGTTTAGAGAAGGAAAGGGACGAAGGGAGGAGGAAAGAGAGGAAGAGAGAAAGAAACACTGATCTGTTTCCTGTTGACTCCTGCATGCAGTCTGACGGGGCAGTGAACCCACAACCTCTTGGTGTAGCGGGGGGACACTCCAACCAGCTGAGCCACTCAGCAAGGGCATCTGATAAGGATTTTATGAAGCAACTATTGTAAAAATATTTCAGCAAGCACTTATACAAATGAAATAAAAACAGAAAATCTTAGAAAAGAAATAGAAAATATACAGTAGAACTGAATGGAAATTTTAGAACTGAAAAATATGGTAAATGAAATGTAAAAAACTAAAACAATGGACTCAACAGCAAAATGAAGGGAAAGAGGAAACACCTTGAAGATAGACTAATAGAAATATTTAATATGAATAAAAGAAAAATAGACTGAGAAAAAGTAATCAGGACCTCAGGGATCCATGGGACTGTAACAAAGGATCTAATATTCTTGTTATCTGGGTCCCAGGACGAGAGGAAGAAGAGGGTGAGACTGAAGAAGTTCTTGAAGAAATATGGTGGAAAATATTTGTAACTTGGGAGAGAAATAAACCTACAGATTCATGAAACTAAGTGAACTCTGAGTAGAGGAAAGCCAAAGCAATTACACTAAGACATTTTACAGTTAAACTTCTGAAAACTAACAAGAAAGAGAAAACCTTGAAAGCAGTAAAGGAAAAACAATTAAAATGACAGTGAATTTCTTATCAGAAAGAAATTGACTAATTTTGAAGTGCTGAAAGAAAGCAGTTTCAACTCAGAATTCTTTTTCTAGTTAGAATGTCCTTGGGGAGTAAAGGGGAAATCAGGACATTTATAGATGAAGGAAATCAAGTGTATTTGTCACTAGTAGACTTTCGCTAAAAGAATAGCTAAAGAAATGAAGCAAAAATCATAGCATTTTCTGATGTATAATTTTTAGATAATTTTTATTTTAGAGAGAGGGGAAGGGGCAGAAAAAGGAGAGAAACATGGATGCGAGACAGAGATGTTCATCAGTGGCATTTAAGACAATTATAGTTGTGGTAGGGTAAAGGCACTTAAAGAGAAGTAAGGTTTCTACTTTCATTGGGACTGGTAACATAACAGTAGGCTGTTATGTGTAAGTAATGTAATTCTTATACCAAATGCTAAAATTATAAAAGATATACCATAAGACATTATAGATAAATCAAAATGCAGTTTTAAAAATGGTCAAGTAACATGCAGGAAAGTAGGGGAAATGAAAGGAAAAAGAATAAAATGGCAAACTCAAGTCCTAACGTAAGTAATTCATTAAAGGTAAATGGCCTAAATATTCCCATTAAAATACAGGGATTTGAATTGTGATTAAAAAAATATGACCCAACTGGCCCTGACCAGTGTAGCTTGGTTGGAGCATTGTCCTACACCGAAAGGTTGCAGGTTTGATTGGTGGTCAGGGCACATAATCAGGTTGTCAGTTCAGTCCCAAGTCAAAATGTGTACAGGAGGCAACTGATTGATGTTTTCTCTCCCATGCTGATGTTTCTCCCCACGCCTTCCTGTCTCTCCCTCTCTCTCTCTCTGTCTCTCTGTCTCTCTCTCTCTCTCTCTCTCAAAGCAATGGATAAAGCGCTCTCATAAAGTGACTCAATGATACATTATGAGAAACTCACTTTAAATATAATGGTATAAAAAGGTTATAAATAAAAGGAGGGAAAAAGATGTATCATGCAAACATGAGAAGAAAGTAGAGGTGACTATACAAACGTAATCCTGCTCTTACCATGCCAATCACATTGAGAACAGCTGACACTCATCGAGGACCTCTTGTGTGCCAGGTGTACAGACTCTGAGGCAGCGCTGTGCAGCAGAACTTCTGCCGTGATGGAAATGTTCTGTATTGTGCTGTGTAACGTGGTAGCCACAGGCCACATGTGGCTCTGGAGCATTTGAAATGTTCTGCAGCAACCATGGGAGAGAATTTTTAATTTTACGTAATTTTAACATTATGTTTCCATAGCCACATGTGAGTACCGGCTTCTGAGTTGCACAGGAAGTTATAGGAACTTTATGTCTATTCATTCATTGGTATGTATAAGAGTTTCCTGTGATGAGCAGCATCACACAGATGAGGAGGTAGATGAAGGGGGTTTTTGGTCTAAGATCATGCAGCTTGTGAGGGGTGCACAGCTTTGGGATTTAAACCAAAGGATTCTTTCAGGGAAATCTGTACACCTTGTCTCTTTGAATACTGTCATCAGTAGTGTCACAGACAGGTGGTATGTGCCTTGAGAGCACGGAGGGCCAATGTCATAGCTCCTGTGGAGGGGTGACCTATTGGTTTGTCAAATTTTAACAAAGTGAACAGTACCCAGGCTCAGGGAATGCATGAGTGAGAAAGGAAGGATTAATCTACCAGACCCTGTTGGGAGTAAATTGACCTAACAATTCTGGAACAATTTGGTAGTATTAATCATCATATAGAGTGTGTAACCCCCATAATTCAAGAGTTAACAGCTCCAGGGTGCTTACTGTAGGAATACCCACAAATGACACCAAGTGAAGTTAACAGGAATTATTTTTTAATTGCACATATTTTGATGGGACTTGGGAAATTAATGTATGAAATGGACATGCTGGTTTGGGAGCAGGAGGACACTACCTAAGGGAGACTCAAGGCTCTGTGAATCCAGAGTAACTTCCCACCCATCCTCCCTGCCCACTCAGTGCTGCCCTCATCCCAGTGGAGGCTGGTTGCAACATTGAGGTTGACTGTGTTTGGTGTTGTAGGAGGCTGTGACATTCAAGGACGTGGCTGTCATCTTCACAGAGGAGGAGCTGAGGCTGCTGGACCCTTCCCAAAGGATGCTGTACCGAGAAGTGACCCTGGAGAACCTCAGGAACCTGGTCTCTGTGGGTGAGGACACATGCCCTTTGTAACTGAATGTCAACTCACAAGAGTATTTATTTTATTTCATTTCATTTCATTTCATTTCATTTCATTTCATTTCATTTCATTTCATTTATTTTATTTTATTTTATTTTATTTTTTAAATTATATTTTATTGATTGTACTATTCCAGTTGTCCCAGTTTTATGCCCTTTCCTCCCTCCACACAGCACACCCCACTGTCTTAGCCTATTTCCCACCATTGTTCATGTGCATGGGTCACGCTTAAATGTTCTTTGGCTACTCCTTTCCTACACTGTTCTTTGTGTCCCTATGGCTATTCTATAACAACTTATTTGCACCCTCCACTGGAGACCCAGCCTGCAATCCAGGCATGCACCCCAGACCAGCAATCGAACTGACGACCCCCTGATTTGCAGCCTGGCACTCAATCCACCTAGCCATACTACCCAGGGCTACTTAATTTTTTTTTAGATTCAATTACTGATTAATATGTATTTTTTACTTTTTATTCTTCATAGTTTTGATCTTATTTTTCTTAAATCACTTTAACATTTCATATAAAAGTTGCTAGGTGGTGATGAACTCCTTTAATTTCTTCTTCTCAGGGAAGCTCTTTATCTGCCTCTCAATTCTAAATGACGTTTCTGCTGGGTAGAGCAATCTTGGTTGTAGTTTCTTGCTTTTCATGACTGTGAATATTTTTTGCCAATCCTGTGTAGCCTGCAAAGTTTCTTTTGAGAAACCAGCTGACAATCTTATAGGAGCTCCCCTGTAGGTAACTTAACTGCTCTTCTCTTGCAGCTTTTAAGATTCTCTCTTTATCTTTAACCTGTTGTGTTTTAGTATATGATTTGTTTTGAGGTGGTCCTCTTTGCATCCATCTTGTTTGTGACTCTCTGTGCTTCTTGGACTTTCATGTCTATTTCCCTCACCAAATTAGGGAAGTTTAGTTCCCTTCTTTTTCAAATAGATTTCCAATTTCTTGGTCTTTCTCTTCTCTTTTTGGCACCCCCATGATGCAAATGTTGGAACACTTGAAGTTGTCCTACAGGCCACTTACAGTATCCTCAGTTATTTGGAGTCCTTTCTCATCTTGTTGTTCTGATTGGTTGTGTTTTGATTCCTTATGTTCCAAATCATTGACTTGATTCTCAGCTTCATCCACTTTGTTGTTGTTTCCATATAAATTGTTCTTTATTTCAATTAATGTATCCTTCATTTCTGCCCAGATCTTTTTCATGCTGCTGAGGTCCTCAACCAGTTTTTTGAGCATCCTTACAACCTGCGTTTTCAACTCTGCATCTGGTAAATTGCTTATCTCCATTTTGTGTAATATTTTTTCTAGAGTTTTGACCTATTTGTTCATTTGCACCATGTTTCTTTGTGTGCATCCTCTCTGAGTTTTTTTCTGTGTATTAGGGAGAGCTGCTATGACTCCCTATGCTGCTACTGTGGCCTAAAATAGTAGGTTTCCTTTAACGTCCAGTGGCACAGTTTCCCTTATCGCCCAAGCTGAATACTTGAGATGCACTCTTCATGTGGCCTGAGAACCCCCTTGTCTTGTAGTTGAGCCTTGGTTGCTGTTGCAGGTCAGTGGCAGGGATTTACGCAGGCCAGTCAGCTGCAAGGCTTGGCTATGACCACTGATCACCAATATCTGCACTTCTGGCATACCAGCTGTGTAGGGTCAGGGTGTTGGTGCTCCCACGTGGTCTGTAGCTGTGCACTGGGTGCGCTGGCCCCAGGGTTTCCCAGGTGGTGTAGGCCAAAGTCAGTCCCCACCTCTGTTTTGCCCAGGTCCAACCCTGCCTGGGCTATAGAGCAAACAGTGATGGCTGCTGCTTGTGTTCGGCTTGGAAACTCCCAGGCAAAGCCAAGCTCTGAATTTAGGCTGGCTGCTGCTGGTGTTGTGCCTGGGGCTCTTAGCAAAAGGGACTGTCGCTAGGGGCTCGCTGAGGCCAGGAATTACTTCTTTGGAAGGATTTAGAAAGTTGTGAGGGATGAGCCGAGACCAGTCATTCACATGGAGAAGCTACTGTTAACAGCTGTAAGTTGGATGGGACAGAATCTCTGGATTCTCCAGGGTGGGCAAATGGTGGTAGGCAGGTTGATGGAGTCTCAGATATGGCACCTGGCTGCTAGCTCTCTGGCTCTTCCCACCATTCTGTCTGGGCAAAAGCTGTGTCCCAGCTCTTGCCTTGATGCCAAACACTTTTCTTTGTCCCTGTATTACACTGGTGCCTTTCAGGCTACTACCCCAGTGCTGGATCTCAGAGGGAATTGTTCTGAGTAAAGTCATATGTGGGTTCTTCAAGAGGAGCTGCTTGAGCCTTCAGCAGTTTTTCCCACCAACTCAATCCCTGATGGTGTTTGCAGCTAGAAGTTATGGGGTCTTATTTTCCTGGCAGTGTAACCCTGGTTGGGGGCGCCTAGTGTCCGAGTGGGACTCCCCACTCCCAACATTACCTTCCTCATTATTTCATCCCTCACATGTGGATGTGGGAGGAGTCCTTTTTGTGTCTCCGCCTCTTCTACCAATCTGGATGGATGTGGTTCCTTTTAATTTGTGGTAGTCAGAGGTCCATTCAATTCAATTTCTGATGATTCTGAGTAATGGTTTTTTTATGATATAGTTGTAATTTTGATGTGGTTGTAAGTGGAGGCGATGTGTGTTTACTTATGCCAGCATCTTGACTGTAGTTCTCAGGAGTATTTTGGTTTCAAATGTTTAAGAATTTCAGACTCTTGAAATATGTCCCTGAACCTGGAGATCTAAATTTCCTAATTCCTATTGGATGTATTATCTTTTTTTTAAGATTTTATTTATTTATTTTTAGAGAGGGAAGGGAGGGAGAAAGAGAGAGAGAGAGAAACACCAATATGTGGTTGCTGGGGGCCATGGCCTGCAACCCAGGCATGTGACCCGACTGGGAATTGAACCTGTGATGCTTTGATTCGCAGCCCACGCTCAATCCACTGAGCAACGCCAGCCAGGGCTTGGATGTATTATCTTTACCTTTTGTTTTTTTGCCAATTGCGGTTGTGGTACCTTGGTGTTAAAATGGGTTGGTAAGTTACATCATTATTCTATGGAATAAAATAGAGTAAATTTCCTTGTAGGAATAGCATTTGTGCAACCAAAATGGTGAGTAAATCCATAAAGGATGCTCATTTGATCCCCTGTTGTATTCATAACAGCAGGTTGCAGTTGGAATTTGGAGAAATACTCTTTAGAACACATGAGGGTCATAGTAATTTAATTCAATTTTTTTTTTAGTGTATCCAGCATTTACTTTTCACAGGATAGCAGTCCTTGGAATTGGATAGGATATTTACTTGGGGAGAGAGGAGAAGCTTTAGATGACAGAGTCAGACCCCAAGGAGGTGGGTGTTCAGTTGAGAAGCAGGCAGCTCCAAGTCCTCCCAGAGCACAGGCCAGTGCTGTCCTTCTCCCTGCCACCAGAGTGGCCGCCCTGGCCCAAGCCTCCAGCTTTCCTGACTCCACTTCCTCACAACAGCTTCTCACTGCCCCCTGCGTGTGCATGTGCCTTTCTGTGGTCAGTTCTCCAACAGCAGGCAGGTCAGGTCACTTCTCTGTTTGTCCTTGCAGGCCGTCCCATCCCACTCATACAGTCCAACATCCTCCTTGTGGCCCCCAGGGTCGTGCCTGATCTGGCTCCCCATGCCCTCTCTGTTTGGGTTTCCTGTCCTTAGCCTTCCCGTGACACTGTGTTGCTGCTTCCTGTGTTTCTGACCTGCGCACTATGCCTGTGCCTCAAGGATTCTGCCTTGCTCATCCATTTTCTGCCCTGTGGGCTGTCCTGGTTCCTGCCTCTGCCCTGTCTGCTCCAATGTCACCTCATCACAGACGCCTGCTCTGACCAGTCTGCTTAAAAACTCAAGCCCCCTCCTCTGCCTTGTTTTCTGACGCATCATTAATTGTCAGCTGTTGTAGTAATGGATTCTATTTTGTTTACTTGTTTATGGCCTGTCTCCCCATTACTGTGTAACATTGGGAGAGCCAGAGTTGTTAACTGTTTTCTTTATTGCTGTGTACCAGGTGCCTCTGAGAGACTTAATGCATAGGGTACGTTCATCCACTGCTTTTTTGATGAGACAGTGAGTTAATTAATGGATGGATAGGTAGTCCCACTTTAATGGTCGTGAAAAGTCACAGCTTATCCTATCCAGTGGTCTCTGTGTTGCCATTGTGAGCTCTGCCGCATCCATTTACCTGGTAACATCCTCCGTGCTGGCCTGCTTTCTCCTCCCTTGCCTTCTCTCATTGTCCCTTTATTCACCCCCTCCTTCCTGTATTTATGTTTACTGTGTACATCCCTCAGGTAAACGCAGCCTAAAATACAGTAATGATACTCACCCCTATTCCATATCAGTACCAAAAATTAAGAACTAAATCTGACAAAATCCCTAGGAAAATGCAGCTGAGGCTCTGCCTGTTGTGAATAGTGGGGGACAGTTTTCTCTTTTTGTCATTTCTGTTGTTGTGTCTTCATGGTTCACAAAGGTTCCCAGCCTTCAGGAAGGCTGGATGCCAGCTCTGTGTGATTTGCTACCCCACACCTTTTTTTTTTTTTTTTTACAGATGTGCCTTCCTTGGGCATTACAAACCCAGTTACAACTGGTGTCTGTTCTTTTCTTACCAGGGAGTATGTTGCCTTTTTGCTTTTTGTTTTTGTTTTTTTTGTGTGTTGTTTTGTTTTTTGTTTTGTTTTTTTTTCTTTGGTCCTCGTGAGGACATTGAGAAGGGAAGTATAAATCAGTTTCCTCCCATCTATATCTGGAGCAGGATTTGAGGACTGAACCCTCAAACCTGCTATATGCTCTCACTAGGATTCAGTCTCACAACCTCTCAGTTATGGGACATCACTCCAACCAACTGAGCCACCCAGCCTGGTCCTGTTGTTTTTGTTTTTTTGTTTTAAAGGAAGAAAAATTTGTTGTTGTTTTATTGTTATTTATTTATTGCTTGATTTGAGAATGAGAGAGACATTTAGATATTGATTTGTTGTTCCACTTATGTATGCATTCATTTGTTCATTCTTGTATGTGCCCTCACTGTGGAGTCAACCCTCAACCTTCATATGGGAGAACACTCTAGCCTACTGAACTACCCGGCGAGGGCTGTTTCATCTTCTGGAATAAATCTTTTATTTTGGAATTTTGAGCCACCTTTTTATTGTAATATATACAAAAAACAGGAGTACACACCTTTGTGAATTTTCAGGGAGTGAAATGACTTTATATTTCAGTTGTTTTTATTAAGGTAGCATTTATAGATTCTCATCTCAAGCATGCCATTTGATGAGTTTTGGCTAATGGATGTACATCTGTCTGTCACTCACACCCCTCTGAAAAATGACTAAATATTACAGCATATTGTACCTGTATCTTCCTTCTTAAAAGTTCTTTTGGAAATATCAGAACAGCCCCAGATTTTGTGTGTCTTCTGTCCACATCTTTGCCCCCTCTCTACCTGTGACGAATATCTTTCTGGCCTTGCTACACTGCACAGATTCTCACACTACAGGCTTTCTTCTTTCTCCAGGAGTCCTATAAACAAATGCTCACAGAGAATGGTGCTAGGTGGGTCTCACTGTCTTCACTCTTCCTGGAGACAGCCTGAAATTAGAGGAAAAAAGCCAGTTTGACTAAAGAATTATTTCACAACATTGTTACCCATATGATGAACGCCTGCCCTAATTATAATTTTCATGGTACTTTCAGCAGTTATCTCTACCTGTATAACAAACTACTCTTAAACTTAGCAGCTTACAAGAATAAGCATGTATTTATACTTCTGAGAGTCAGAAATCTGGAGGCAGCTTAGGTGGGTGATTGTGGGTCAGGATCTCATCAAGTTCATGTTAAAGAGTCCACAAGAGCTCCATGTCTTTGCAAGCTTAATGGCACTGAAGTATTGGCTTCCAGGATGGACTCGTTCACATGGGTGTTGGCAGAAGACCTCAGTTCCTTGCCAGAGGGCCTGTCCTGTGGGCTTCCTGGCTGTCCTCAAAGCATGGCATGGCAGCTGGTTTCTTCCACCCAAGTGGGTGGAAGGCAGAAACCACAATGTCTTTTATGCTCTAACCTTGGAAGTGATGTACTCTCACTTCTGGAGATTTTTAAAATCCTCCCGAGAGGATACATTTATTGATTTTTGGGATAGAGAGAGAAACATCTTTCTGTTGCCTCCAGTACATACCCTGACTGGAAATCAAACCAACAGCCTCTCAGTGTATGGGATGATGCTGCAACCAACTGAGCCACCCGGCAAGGGCACTTTTGCCATATTCTGTTGGCTTCACAGAGTACTTTTGATACATTATGGGAAGGCATTTGATACTATCTGTATGTCAGCAGGAAGGATCATTGGTGATCATCCTGAATGGTGGTTACCACCACATCTTTTCCTATGTACAAATGCATATCTAGTGTACAAAACCTGGAAGATGTTGTTAGTCATTGGTCATCATCAGAACATTCAGCTAAACTAAGTGGCAGCAATTATCATGGGACATTTTACTCTCCCATCAGATGTGTCAGTCATGGGTTTGAGGTTTCTAGTTTTTTCTACTTAGAACAACCACCATTTTGCTGAGAGTATCACCTTGTGTATACACATATTTCTGCTTTTGACCTAGTACACAAGTCTTGGTATAGTTCCAAACTAGTCTCTGAGTGGACAGCAACCTACTCATCACCTCTATGTTTCCTTACACATTAGAAAGTCTATGGTGAAAGCCAAGCTGATTGAGTAAGGTCTCTCGGGGTGGTTGACCTGTGAAATATTTTTATGTCTGAACAGGCATTTTCTTATCCTACTTGTCACATTTGTATTCTCCTTATCTTTCCAGGACACTGGAACCAAAATGAGGTAGAGAGTCTTCAAGAAGTTGCATTAAGGTACCTTTTACATGAAGACCTTGTGTGCTGGCAAATATGGGACCAACTTCTGAGTAAGTTATCCGGAAATCAAGACTTGATAATAAGCCTGCGAGGCAAGAAGTCAGATTTGCCAAAACAAGGTGATTCCTCCTGTCAGTTGTGTGCAGGAGAATCTACTCAGATTTCAGAAGTGGAGAAAGATGTAATAAAAGTTCAATGGGAAGTTCAGAGTTTCAATAGTATAAAAAAAGACTTTCCCATGAAAACCATCCACAATTGCCAGAAGAAAGTGTATCTGAGAGAGTCACAGAATGATCAGAGTAGTTCTCAGCACGGTGACCACAAATGTAAACTGTGTGAGTGTGAGCACTGTGTTAGGAGAAGGACCTCTGGTCTCCACAGTGATGATCAGGAAGTGAGGGAAGGTAAGACATCTTATAGCCACAAGAATTGCCTGAAAGACTTTGTGAAGCCATCATTCCAGCAAAATGTAATCCACTCAGAAGAGCACACCTCTCCTGAAAATGGAAAAGGCATCAGCCTTAGCCCCAGACTTGAGTTTCATCAGCAATTGCACCTGGGAGCAAAATCTCATATATATAGTGAGTTTGGGGAGTGTGAGAGGTTTAGCTCAGAGGTCTGCACTCATCAAGGTGTTCACATAGAAGAGAAATGCAAAAGGAGTGATGAGTGTGGTCAGGATGTTAGTCAAAGTTCTCATCATGAAATTCATCAACGAGTTTACACTGGAGCGAAACACTATAAATATGTCCTGTGTAGGAAAAGCATGAGTCAGAATTCATGTCTTCACTATCATCAGCAAGTTCACCTTGGACAGGAACCCTACAAATGTGCTGTGGGTGGGAAGAGCCTCAGTCAGACCTGCAGTCTTCAATCTCACCAGCGACTCCACAGTGGAGAGAAAATCAAGAAATGTGATGAGTGTGGGAAGAGCTTCAATCGGAGTTCAAAACTTCAAATTCATCAGCGAGTCCACACTGGAGAGAAACCTTACAAATGTCCTGTGTGCGGGAAGAGCTTCAGTTATACCTCTGGTCTTCAAGCTCATCGGCGACTGCACACTGGAGAGAAACCCTACAAATGTGCTGTGTGTGGGAGGAACTTCAATTATACTTCCAGTCTTCACACTCATCAGCGAGTCCACACGGGAGAAGAACGCTACAAATGTGGTGTGTGCGGCAAGAACTTCAGTCGGAGTTCATATCTTCAAGATCATCAGCGAGTTCACACTGGACAGGAACCTTACAAATGTGTCGTGTGTGGGAAGAGCTTCAGTTTGATGTGCAGTCTTCAAGCTCATCAGCAAGTCCACTCTGGAGAGAAACCCTATAAATGTGCTGTGTGTGGGAAGCGTTTTGCTCGGGGTTCAAACCTTCAAGCTCATCAGCGAAACCACACTGGAGAGAAACCCTACGAATGTGCTGTGTGTGGGAAGAGCTTCAGTTATACCTCCGGCCTTCACACTCATCAGCGACTCCACACAGGAGGTGAACGCTACAAATGTGGTGTGTGTGGGAAGAACTTCAGTCGGAGTTCATATCTTCATGATCATCAGCGAGTTCACACTGGACAGGAACCTTACAAATGTGTCGTGTGTGGGAAGAGATTCAGTCAGACGTCCAGTCTTCAAGCTCATCAGCAAGTCCACATTGGAGAGAAACCCTGGAAATGTGCTGTGTGTGGGAAGAGTTTCAGTCGAAGTTCATACCTTCAAGTTCATCAGCGAAACCACACCGGAGAGAAACCTTACAAATGTTCTGTATGTGGAAAGAACTTCAGTCATACCTCCAGTCTTAAACATCATCAGAGACTCCACAGTGGAGAGAAAATCAACAAATGTTCTGAGTGTGGGAAGAGCTTCAGTTATATCTCCATTCTTCAAATTCACATGCGAGTTCACACTGGAGAGAAACCCTACAAATGTACTGTGTGTGGGAAGTGCTTTAGTCGGAGTTCACATCTTCAAGATCATCACCGAGTGCACACTGGAGAGAAACCCTACAAATGTACTGTGTGTGGGAAGAACTTCAGTCGGAGTTCATATCTTCAAGATCATCACCGAGTTCACACTGGACAGGAAGCTTACAAATGTGCCATGTGTGGGAAGAGTTTTAGTCAGACATCCAGTCTTCACGCTCATCAGCGAGTCCACACTGGAGAGAAACCCTATAAATGTGCTGTGTGTGGGAAGAGCTTCAGATGGTGTAAAGATCTTCAAGTTCATCAGCGAGTCCACACTGGAGAGAAACCCTACAAATGTGCTGTGTGTGGGAAGAGTTTCAGTAGGCGTTCATATCTTCAGGATCATCACCGTGTCCACACTGGAGAGAAACCCTACAAATGTGCTGTCTGTGGGAAGAGCTTCAGTAGGAAGCCAGATCTTAAAGTTCATGAGCGAATTCACACTGGAGAGAAACCCTACAAATGTCCTGTGTGTGGGAAGAGCTTCAGTCAGAGCTCTGGTCTTCAAGTTCATCAGCATGTCCACACTGCTGAGAAACCCTACAAATGTTCTGTGTGTGGGAAGAGCTTTAGTCACAATTCTGGACTTCAAGTTCATCAGCGAATACACACTGGAGAGAAACCTTATAAATGTGATTTGTGTGGGATGAGGTTCATTCGTATGTCCAGTCTTCAAGCTCATCAAGGAGTCCACACTGGAGAGAAACCCCACAAATGTGCTGTGTGTGGGAAGAGCTTCAGTCGGAATTCATATCTTCAAGTTCATCAGCGACTTCACACTGGAGAGAAACTCTACAAATGTGAGGTGTGTGGGAAGAGCTTCACTCAGAGTTCCTATCTTCAAGGTCATCAGAGAGTCCACACTGGAGAGAAACCCTACAAATGTGCTGTGTGTGGGAAGAGCTTCAGTCGGAGTTCACATCTTCAAGTTCATCACCAGGTTCACAATGGAGAGAAACCCTAAAAATGTGCTGTGTGTGGGAAGAGCTTTAGCTGAAGGTCAGACCTTAAAGTTCATCAGCAAGTTCACACTAGAGAGAAACCCTACGCATGTGCTGTGTGGGAAGAGCTTCAGTCGGAGTTCACATCTTTTTTTTTTTTAAGATTTTACTTATTTATTTTTTTAGAAAGGAAAGGGGAAGGGGGGAGAAACAGAGAGAGAGAAACATCAATGTGTGGTTGCCTCTCACATGGCCCCCACTGGGGACCTGGCCTTCAACCCAGGCATGTGCCCTGACTGGGAATTGAACCTGCGATGCTCTGGTTCACAGCCCTCACTCAATCCACTGAGCTCCACCAGCCAGGTCTCAGAGTTCACATCTTAATGTTCATCAGTGTGTCTACACTGGGAAGAAACCCTGCAAATGGATTTTGTTTGGTAAGATCTTCAATTGGACCCCAGGACTTCAAGCTGATCAGGTCATCCACATATAGAAAAACTGTATAAGTGTAGCATAACTGGTAAAATCTTCAGCCAGTTTTCAAGTCTTGAAGGTGATCGTAGAGTCCACACTGGGCAGAAACTTTACAACTGTTTTAGTTCCGGTAAAGCCTTTAATAAGACTTGTAGCTGCAGGTTCATGAGAAAGTACATAATATTGGGAAGCTCGTCACACCTGGTCAGTGTGTGATAAAAGTGTTCTTCAGAACTTAGACTTTTAACTGTCATCAGAAAACGTTCATAGAAAGAAAAGAGCTATGATCGCTTATACCCAGAATGTACTTTCTTCTGAGGAATTGCAGTTGTGTGGATGTGGGTAGACTTTTTACAGTGGGACAAGTTATTCCAGCATTTTTACCTGCATGTTCTGAGTCAGTCAGGCACATCAGTCCTGTCAGCTGAACCTGCCTTAGGCACTTAACCTTTCGTGGCTCAGGTGTGCCAACACACACACACAAAAAGGCCCAAATGGAAAAACAGATCAAAACCCCAGAACAAATATAACTAAGCAACCAAGAGATAGCCAACCTATCAGATGCACAGTTCAAAACACTGGTAATCAGGATAGTCACATAATTAGTTGAATTTGGGTGCAAATTAGATGAGGAAAATGAAGGCTACGCTGAGGGAAATAAAGGAAAAATATATAGGGAGCCAACAGTTATGGGAAGGAAAATGGGATGCAGATAAACTGTGTGAAACAGAAGGAAGGAAAAAGCATCCAACCAGAAAAGAATGAAGAAACAAGAACTCAAAGAGATGAGGACAGACTTTGGAACCTCCAGGACATCTTCAAATGATCTAACATCCGAATTATAGGGGTACCAGAAGGAGAAGAGGAAGAGTAAGAAATAGAAAACTTATTTGAACAAATAATGAAGGATAACTTTCCCAATCTGGCAAAGAAAAGAGACTTACAGGAAGTCCAGGAAGCTCAGAGAGTCCCAAAGAAGATGGACCCAAGAAGAAACACACCAAAGCACATCATAATTACATTAGCCAAGGTAAAAATGAAGGAGTGAATTCTAGAAGCAGCAAGAGATAAGGGGACAGTAACCTACAAAGGAGTTCCCATAAGGCTGTCAGCTGATTTCTCAAAAGAGACCTTACAGGCAAGAAGGGGCTGGAAAGAAGTATCCCAAGTCATGAAAGGCAAGGACCTACCTCCAAGGTTGCTCTATCCAGCAAAGCTATCGTTTAGAATGGAAGGGCAGATAAAGTACTTCTCAGGTACGGTCAAATTAAAGGAGTTCATCATCCCCAAGCCCTTATTATAGGGAATGTTAAAGGGAGTTATCTAAGAAAAAGAAGATAAAAATATGTACAGTAAAATGATGGCAAACTCACAATAATTAACAACCACACCTAAAACAAAAACAAACAGAACCACAGAACCACAGAAATGGAGATCATAGGGAGGGTTAGCAGCAGGGTAGTGGGAGGAGGAGAGAGGGGAAAAGGTATAGAGAATAAGTAGCATAGATGGTAGGTAGAAAATAGGGGAAGGGCAAGAATAGTGTCAGAAAAGTTGAAGCCAAAGAACTTGTATGTATGACACATGGACATGAACTAATGGAGTGGAATGTGGGTGGGAGGGGGTGTGCAGGTTGGAGGTGAGTTGAAAGGAGGAAAGTCGGACAACTGTTATAGTATAATCAATAAAATATATTTTAAAATTTTGATAATTCTTCAGAGAATGCACAATGGAGAAACCCTATGAGAAATGTAGTATAAGGGTTTTGTTTTATATAGATTTTATTTATTTCTAGAGAAAGAGGAGGGTACGGGGAAAGAGAGGGAGAGAAATGTCAATGTGTGGTTACCTTTCCCATGCTCCCCACTGTGGACCTGACTTGCAACACAGGCATCTTCTCTGACTGGGAATTGAACTAGCAACCCTTTGCTTCACAGTGTGGTGCTCAGTCCACTTATCCACAACAGCCAGGGCAAATGGTTGTATAAGTTTGTATGAATCTTCACGCTCTATAAAGTCTACGCAGGAGAGAAGGTTAAAAGTAAAGACCACCTGGACCTTAGGAAAGGTATATGACGGATTTGACAAAATTTACAACCACAAGAATGTCAGCTCCATGGAAGCAGGAAGTTTATTCACTGCTGAATAACCATGACCACAAACAAGTGCCTAAGCAGTAGTAGGTGCCTGGTGATGTCTCACTTGAGGGAGAGGAAGAGCTATAAAAAATAGTGTAACAATATAAAAATTCTCATGAACCCAACCTCAATTAGTAATAATAAATTGTAGCAGCAAAAGGATTTTTGTAAGAAACTTAAAACTTAATTCAAGGAGCCCTGGGTGGTGTGGCTTGACTGAGTGCTGATCTGGGCAGCAAAGGGTCGCCAGTTCGATTGCCAGTGTAGGACACATGCCTGGGTTGTGGGTGAGGTCTGCAGTAGGGGGTGTGTGAGAGACAACCACCCATGGATATTTGTCTCCCTCTCAATCTCCCTCCCTTCCCCTCTAAAAAGTAAATAAGTAAAATCGTTAGCAAAAATAAACATATTATTTCACTTTTAGTGTGGGGAAGGGAGGGAGAAAGGGAGAGAAACATTGATTGGTTTCCTCCCTCACACGCCCCAACTGGGGACAAAACCCAGAACTGGCCATCTTTCCATCTGAGGACGACACCCAACCAACTGATCCACATCTGTCCGGCCAAGGGAAAGGGACTTTTATAAATGTGCCTTTGTGTTTTGTTGCCTTTTCACCTGGATGCGTGATTAGAAATTGATGTAAATGTTTACATGCTTACAATTTCACAAATGTTGAAGGGATCCCCAACAGGGAAAGCTGCAATGGAGAGTGTCAGGCCACAGCTACCTGGGTTTCTGCTTCTAGTGTGCAAACAACCTAAACTCTGAGGTTTAGGAGCAGGAGAAGTCTCTATGAGTGATGATTTTTGCTAATTCTCTGGGGGAAAAGGGAGGCAACATGAATAGAGTCCATCTACAAATGGAGATGCACTTTTGGAGATTATATTTTTACACAGCAGGAGGGAGGGGGAAAGAGAGTGAGAAAAACATCAGTATGTTGTTGCCTCCCATGCACGCCCTAATGGGGACCTGGCCCACAACCCACGCATGTGCCCTGAATAGGAAATGAACAGGCGGCCTTTTGGTTTGCAGTCCACTGAGCTGTGCCAGCCAGGGCCTCTTTTGGAGTTTTCAAAAGCAGCTTTTAGTTGCTAGTGAACTCTTGGAAAAACAGGTGCCTCACCTTGACCCATTTTTGTATGTGTAGCATGTTTTTCCTTAAATTTTTTTATCATTTTTCAGTTACAGTGGACATGCAATATTGCATTAGTTTCAGGAGTACAGTGTAGTTGCTAGACATGTATACACACAGCTTTTGAAGTGATCCCCTGGTAAGTCTCGTACCGACCTGGCACCCTGCATAGTTACTGCAATATTACTGAGTATAGTCCCTGTGCTGCACTTTACAACTGGGTGAATGTTTTGTAACTTTGGACCAGGAACACAGCTGTCTGGCAAGTTGCAGCTGTTTTTGAAATTCTGGCATCACAGACTCTAGTTGCCTGAACCTGTCTTTAGGCTGACCCCAGATTTTGCCTCAGCTGTTTCAGTGCCCCTGCTCATGCTGTGCTGAATTGCAGTGGGATGGGATTGGCCCCCTGAAGAAACCGGCTCAGACTATGTGAGTGCTGTAGATTTAGGGCATCCTACTGGGGGACACTAAACTCTTACAAAATGTCATGATGGTGTCACTTCTGGGTGCATATTTGAAAGAAATGGACACATGTTACCAAAGAAGTATGTACACCCTCATGTTCACTGCAGCATTGTTCACTGGAGCCAACAAATGCAAACGACCTCAGGCTCTGTCATGGATCAGGACGTGGTGCACATATACAATAGGATGGTATTCAGCCCTGAGAAAGAAGGAAATTCTGCCATTTGCAACAACATGCTAAGGGCCTTATGCTAAGTAAGACAAGACAGAGACAAATACCTTATGTTATCTCTTTATGTGGAATTAAAAAAAAAAGGCCTAAAAGCAGAGTAATGGTGGTGACCAGGAAGTGGGGAAATGGAAGAGACATTTAAGGGCAATGCTAGGTAAGTGAGTCCTGAAGACCTGCCGCATGGGATAGTGGTTATGTACAACCACAGTTTAGAAACATTCAGTTTGGTAAGAGGCTAGACCTTGATTATTGCAACACTAGATGAAACTGGGAGATGAGACAGCACTGCTAGCTAAGTCTCTTATGCCAATCACATTGTAAGAAATGTATCAAATCAATATGCTGTACTCCTTCAACAAAATGTCCTATGTCAATAGAGCTCCAGAATTAGTGGAAAAATAACCCATCTTGGATGCAGCTGGGTTCTGTGGGTCCCCTGGAAGCACCCCAAAAAAGGACTTATTGTCTGATGGCACCATCTGAACCTGAGCTGGTGGACAGTGTAAACACAGACACTGGTTGCATGTCTAACTTGGGAGCACTCTCTGCCAGACGAAAACACTTGGACCTTGATAAGGGAAGACTTCATTCAACAAGACGTGTGTTAGGGAGGATGCTCCCATTTCAGAATCTGCAAGTGCCTCCCATTGAACCAGAAAGCAGTTTTCTTCATCAGGCAGGACAAGAAGGGGTAGCAGGGAATGTGTGGGAGAGAAGGCGGGGAGGGGGAGGCGGCCAAGCAGGGCTTCAGCAGGAAATGTCTGCTGTCTGCAGTGTCATGCCAGGAATGTCCTCAAGGTGCCTGAGAACAGTAAGGTCAAAG